ATAGCTTGTCATAACAACCATCTTGTCCGTTTCATCATCATCATCAGCCTATTAACAGCTGGGGCACAGGCCTTCCCTATGGATGAAATAGGGAAATTGGGCCACGACCCACCACCCGAGCCCGGTGCGGATTGGTGGGTGCTAACGACTGCAGATGCAGCCGGAACCAACGGCTTTACGTGCCTTCCGAAGCACGGAGAAGCTCGAGATAATATATTTTTTAGTCACCCATCCTATAACCGACCACAGCGAAAGTTGTTTAACTTTAACGATCGCAGCCAAACGCGCTAACCACTTGCGCCATCTAGCTCCTTTCCTATGTCCCCATCTCGCCCGATTACGACTTCTTAATTTTAATTCAAGACCAACAAGAGATAGGCATAAACTATCACGAGATACACTGTAGCGTAAAGGCCAACCATTCATAGACCAGTCTTTATTTCTGCTACAGTGAAATTTTATAAAATATCAAAGAAAGCGTCGTCACCCTTACCCAGACTGAAGCGTGCAAACAAAATCTCGCGGTCGCCGCCCGCCGAGGACTCTTTGTCCTTTTCTAAGTGTGGCGGGGATACATACGAAACGGCTCGTGCTTTTATTGCGCTGTTTAGATAAAGAAAGAAAAAACGGGAGAGCGTAATAGCGCTAACTTAGATGGAAAATCGATGCATAGCTCAATGGAATCACTAACAAACCTCGAAACGTCTTTCTGCTAAGCTATATAGTCGCTGCCCGCGACTTCGTCCGCGTTATCTTTAGTTTTTTAAGAATCCCTCAGGAACCTCAAATTTTCTCCTGATAAAAAGTGCCTTAATCCAGCTAATAAACTATATATGTGCCAAGTTTTGAGCATATCCGTTCACCCGTTTTTGTGTGATTGAGTAACAAACATACAAACTTTAACATATAATATTAGTAGGATTATGGACACTCATACAGAATGCACTAAAGAAACAAGAAATATGGATTTATCACCGTATTTCAAAGATCACGTAAGAATAACAACATTAAAGTACTTACCACAAAAAATTGGAAAGCAGCTCGAGCTTAACCGTGTGCGCGTGTGCATGTTATCAAAAATAAATATAGAACTTTCCAACTTATGATTCATGGGAAAATAGCAGATAAACGCAGCGTTGACAGAAAACTAAATTAAAGGAATATATATTAATATTAATACATTTATTTTGCTAACTAATTTGACGAACGGGCATCGGAGCCGTTTCGTCGTTCGCAGTTCGTTCGCTGATAGGGACACGAAAAAAGTATCGATACTTTTTGGTATCGAGTACTTTTCCTTTCGATACCGATACTTTTGTACTCGATACTTTGTATTCGATACTTTTACTAAATGAGTACTTTTTGGCAAGTATCGATACCTTTAAAAATTTGGATAAGCGCCTCATATTGATGGCAACGCCATCTTGTTAAATCATAGTAAACCTTCTAAAACGTTCCATAGGGTATTTGATAAGTTTTAGGCAACGATCTCATGTTATTGACTAATGTTTATGGAGTCCATAAAAAGCGGATATTCATCATTCTGTCGTGTATTTCAGTGAAAATAACCAAATCAAAAACTCCATTTTCAAGTTGCCGCGAAAACGTTTCTCTGGACAATATGGCGTCTTACTAGTGTGTAACGTCACACGACTGTTATTAAAACGTCAAACGATACAATGTAATGTCACTTTGACCGGAAGTTTACTTGCGCGTGACGTCATTTTAGGCTCCGCCAATCCCAAGCGTTTTGGGTCACGTGACAATAGATGAGAAAACTAATATCTTTTTCGGTATTTTGGCACTTTATTTTTAATACTGTCAAATGCCCTATTGCGTTAGTCAGTAACTGACATATTCAAATTATTTCCAATCTGTGACTGTGTTTATTTTGCGCTTTGTTTTGTTTCATAGTTATTTATTTAGCGACCATATTGTTAGGAACTGTGATTGATTCGCCGTTTATTGTGTTTTTCGCTTGACTGTATTTGATTTATTCAATACATTATTATTCTGTCTGTGCTATGTATACCTATTTGAAACCACCTGAAAAAAAGACGGACGTAACCTCTTCTATAATTATAATCTTGAGTGAAGCATGCCAATGGCAGCCGTTAACTACTTGTCAGATCCAAGTTAACATAAGTGGGTATAATGTTTTTTAATGATTAAAATTCAAGAAAAGTAAGTTTAATTTGAAACAAATCTGAAAAGTTTCATAATTTGAATTTTTAAAATTTAGAGATTTTTAATTAACATTTTAATTATGAATGTAATATTAATGAACACTTTTTTAGTGTCAGAAATCACAGCTATTTTCTTTTCATTATATAATATAGCAATTTATGAATTTACATGTCCTTTTTTTGTTTTTGGTTATACGTACAAAAAAATAAAATTCGATTCGATAAAATTCTGGGGGGGGGGGGGGGGGGGTTGCTCATCAGGCCACAGAGGCTCCGATAAGGCCCTATGAAAAGTACTCGATACTTTGAAGTATCGATACTTTTGTTTCGATACTTTGACGAGTACGATACTTTTTTACCGATACTACTCACGAGTACAGTATCGATACTTTCTATTCGATATCGTATCCCTATTCGCTGATCGCGTGTCTGTGAGTCAGTGAGACTGCGACTCTGTGGGTGAATGTACCTTACCTAGTGAGCAGTGAGCTGTTTGTTTTGTCGATGAGCTGCAGATTTACGGGTCAAGTCTATTTAGCTGAATATTTGAACCTAATGTCTATCATGTACAAGAACAAGCGAATAACTTGGTACAGTAAGCTGGTGGTGCACACTACTCACTCTACTACTTTCACCGTGTAAAAGCAACCTTATTCTTGAGTAACATAGGCTATATTTTACTGCGCTAAACTAAAGTTAACCTGTGCAAAGCCGGGGCGGAACGCTAGTATATTTATATGTGCCATATTCGCTTGCAGCACAAAATTAGACATTTTTCAAAACTGAAACATTTTCTACTGCTAACATTTTTGTGGAATAAATTGAAATGCCACAAGTCCACTGCACGTTCCAGCAAAGGCGACATTTAAATTTCATCAAGGCACCCGGAGGATGTATCGTGTCGAGACGGGAATTGTGTTTTCTACGCCAGTGAATCCGACATAAGCGAATGCATCCCACGAATCTAGCTACTACATATTTTCATACGAAATTAAATTTTAATTAATCAAATATTATATTTTTGCTGCATTCCCTTGCCGAGCTGCGCCGCAGAACAGAAAAACATTCTTTCTACTTGTTCGAATAAGTATTTACTCAACTCGATGCCTGTGCTTACAGTTCATTAAAATGTTAATTAACTGTAACATAGTTTGATCTTGGGAAATAAAAATAATTGGTTATTCTAGGCCTCTCTAATGAATGCAAACAAAATACAGTTGAACAATTAATGTATAATTTCACATTATGTAATGAAAGGTGACTTCATGAATCATCTCTGAAGTCATTTTTCAACTTGACGACTTTGTAAATAATAAAACAGGGAGAAAAAAACAGCCCTTGTTGAGTTTCTTGCCGATTCTTCTCAGTACAAGGTCTCCCGCCGTGGATTTACGAACCGATGACGTAGCTTCTAGACATTCATGAGTGCTTGTAACAGCCTTAACCGAATAAAATGATTTTGATTGATTGATTGAATGAATGAATGAACTATCTGTGGTTTTTTAGTTGATAGTACCTATCTTAAAATGTCTACATCCATTATATTAGATATTAGTAAATGTTTGATACTTCCAACAGTTCGTATGAATTATTTCTAAAATTAAGTGTCTCAAAGCACCTCTTATATCTTTTTGACAATACAGTCCATAAGTTAATTTATTTATTTTAATAAAGTCGTTTACTTACATATGTGAGGCATACGACAACTTAAATTTCATCAATTTTGTCATTTTCATTTGGGTGCTTTACCAATGTAGGTACTATTATAACCAGTCGGTCAGCACTAATCTATCAAAGCAGATAATTTTCTCTGCGGAATAATCCTATTACCATTCCATTTCCGCACTCGGACCGAATTCTGTTCCACAAGTGACATGTCATTCAATTCGTCGAAGATCTTTTCGGGTGGTTGATTTGCGAAGTGGCGCTTATAAGCTCATTTATAATCTACTGATTTATTTATTTTCTACTTACTGAGTTTCCCTTGTGGAGTGCCAATTCGGCAAAGGTTCAATTTTCAACTGCACGAGATAGATAATACAATTTAATCAATTGTGGTTATGTATTTCTCAATGCATCCCCTCTTTCTGACACCGCATTAGTATTAGTATGCATCTTAGATAATAATATCCCAACTATAATGACACAGATTACACGAATATGTTGCCTTTCGCCTACATGATCTATTTTTAGATAATACTAAGATAATTATATCTACACGATGACGATGCCATTGCTCAATCAAACCATCAATCAATCTCGCTGAGCAATGGTATCGTCACCGTGTAGTCGCTTACTGAATGACTAATGGATGATCGTTAAACATGTTCTAAGATTCCCAAAGTCGTCCTAGAGGATCCCCTCTAGTTACAGACAGGACCCAAATTTCCATTGATAGGTGTAATATTCTCATTTTTTATGAGTTAAAACAGGTAAAGATTGTAAGTTTGTTTGAAGGAAACGAGCCCTGGACTACTGAACCGATTTTGAAAATTCATTCACCAGAAAGCTAGAACATTTTTTCTGGGGACATAAGTTTGATTTTACCGCGTTAAAATAAATTTCAGCGGTGTAAAGTTGAGCTGAGGGCTGATTCTTGATATAGAAATGCAAAATAAGGAGTATAAAACACCAAAATCATTCGATAAGATTACCATTTTACCTTCTGTGCATGAATTATTGCCCAGAAAACGATTCTTGTTTATAAAAAAAACATCTATAACAACTTTATCGAACTTTCAATATATTTTCTCTAGAATAATCATTAACAGTACATATCCAATATTGCACAAATATTTTTTTCATTGTTATCAGGTGCTATTCGACAGTTTCACGCTTGGCCGGTTTACATCCTTCACTGAAGACGGCTGCCCCGATGGTTACATGCAGATCCAAGAAGCGAGCAGACCCCAAGTAGGAGGTTCCTGGTGTGGGACATCCTGGGGCCCCTCAATATATTATAGCGAGACAAAATCTATTACACTCATAATAAGACTGCTGCACCTATCCAAAGATCAAAACAACTACAATTTTAACTTCCGAATGGCGTACAAAGTTCTGAGGAAGGAATTCGCGACGGTTCGATATGGAGGCACCCCGCCATCGGGTACGTAAATCGGATAAAATGTAGCGAATGATTCCTTATTGGATTCTTCCTGCGCATACTTTATTCGCTGGCTGTCGGTGTTCCAGTTACTGCCGTAGTATAATATATTTTTTATTTCATTTCGTTTCTATCTCGACGTGCTTATTTGCCTATTTGAACTTTTATTGAGTTGTTAGTATTATCGGAAAATGTACATGAGCTGATTATAACATTCATAACGTTAAAAATATTTTTAATACTTTGTTCTTAAGCAGCTGACCGACAATGAGAACATTACTGAAAATTAAAATTAATATTTATGCGTAGTACCTAATTTTATTTTATTCACGATTTATATATTTTTCTGGTTAACTGCCCTTTTAGAGATGATTGGAACTGTTTATTTATTGCTACGAACGTCTTATTAGCTTTATTGAAATGTAAATAAAATTTCAGAAATAAGGGACAGAATTTACGACTAACATAAAACTTTCTTATACTTTCAGAGCGCCCTTTTTTCAAGATTAGACCACCACTTTTTCCCGTTAACATATCACGCCTGGAAGATACAAACGTAGCGAGGACGGCAAAAGCCGGCGAGTATTATCTCGGGGATTTGATTTCTGGGACATATTGTTCGCGCATCTTCAGCGACTGTGATCGTAAAACCTGCAGGTTACAGTCGCCAAATTTCCCCGGTGTTTATCCAAGAAATTTGACATGCTACTATGCTGTAAGACAACACGAAGTGCCTCAAGGGAAACACGCCTTAATCGTAGTTAAACAACCTAACGGACAACTAGTATCTATAAGGAGTCAGAAGGCTTTTTATGCGGCACAACAAGAGAGGGGAAATAGCGGGAGAGAATTGAAGTTCTGGCAACAATGCGATGAAGTGCAAGATTATGTGACAGTGTACGACGGGTATACGACGAGGGATCCGGTCGTGTTAAGATTTTGCGGAGGCGGGGTGTCAGTTCCAGAGGCTATCTCGAGCGGCCCGGAATTATTAGTGGAATTCACAACTTCACCGTTTGGGACTTTCCTACAGCCAGCCACTTCGCAATCCCTGCACGGATTCCAACTTGAAGTTGAGGTGAGATCGCTTACCGGTCTATAATTACTTTTTGCTTCTGTGTTAATAATATTCCTTATAGCAAATTATGCAGTTATAAACTTTGCTAGGTGAAGTCTAAAGGCTCAATGAGTGAGAGTCATTAACATCAACCAAAATTTGTTAAGAGGGCAGTAAATTTTAATTTACATTAAAGTTATTACTGGTTTACAGTTTTTGTAGTGTGAACATAAGCAGAAAGGTCTATTAAAATCTTCTCATTCTGATTTTATTGCATAAAGTAACACTAACTTCCACTGCTACAGGATACTAACCTTAATATTCTGACGGTGTCTCAATTTCTTTCCGGAGTAGTTGAGAAAATTTATTATCATTAAAGCACGGGGACGTGCGAGGTGCTGTTTATTGCTGCACTTTATATTGCTGATGTAGCAATTTTGTCGTAAAATTCTATATAGATGTCTTATTGCGTACGTAAACAACTTTCTTAGCTTTTACTTTAAAGGCAAAGGCTGTATTATGATTTAGAGTTGCATTGATAGATCACAATCGCAATACAGCTATACTATAATTCAAGCGAAATATTTTAAATTAATGTCCGTTAATGCAACTTAACGATCTTTTGTTCGCTTTTCAGTGTTCAAATTATTTTCTAAATCATTTAAATTTATCCGGAATTTAGGTTAATAGATTTATATATCATTGTGAAGTGTGTTTAAAGTGTTTCGTTCTCAGTAATAAATCAAGTTGTGCCCTGAGGTCTCGCTTGGGCCCCTGCCAAAGTATAATTAGTACTGTAGGCCCGTGCGACTCGGTCACAACATAATAATAGAATAACCAAACTAGCAGCGCTCACATTGCTTTTAGATTTACAAAATTAGGGCATGACCCATTTTTATAAAATTTCAAAACCGTCTATGTGTTTTAACTGCACTGTTTTGAATAGAACGAATTAACGCACTTAGCGTATATACTTACTATCAATATGTGCTATGAATATATAATATCGACTATTAACAGAATTAGTTAATAACGTTCTACCCTTGATTAAGGCTTTGATTAACGATCTCAAAGGTTTCACCGTGGTTAACTTATAATTAATCAATTCCAGGTCAGGTTCGTAGATCAACAGTCGCCTACATACGCCAAGAACAAAAGGGCTTGCGAATTTTGGATAAGGGGAACAGGCAGGGGTATTTTGGAGCACCCGCAACATTCCCTTCCTCCCAATATAACATGTTTGTATCACATGCAAGGAATCGATACTTCCGGACCTTCGGGAAGGAACATTATGTACAGACGACCTTCCTTCGCGGCTCCGAGATTTAGAGTGTGGTTTTCTGTATTGAAATTTTATGTTACCAATGCGCTTAATCCTAATTTACCCGAGGACGAGTACTGTGGAAGCCATTTGAATATATGGGATGGGCCGATGAGGATATCTCCTGGCTGCAGCGATATATTTTGGTAAGATGATGTTCGCTTACATTGCAAATGTTAACGTCTGTGAATTGTATGAGAAAGCAATCGTGGAATAATTAGTTTAAAATTTGAGGGATTCTGTGGTGCGCACAATTATATCGTAATGATCTCACTTATTCGGCAAACGTGACGTAATATTTCAGAAGTAATGTCTTCCTGTGATTTAATTGAGTGATGAGTAACACAAGCTTTTAACGTCTATCTGCTCGAGAATAATGTTCTTGTTAATTATTCTTTGTTTGCTTTTGTTTTTGAGCAAACTTTGTTGTTACAAGGAAAATATTAATTTCAAGAGAAGATTGGTTCAATGTTTTGTGTACTCTTTTCTGTATTTACACTTTCAGAACTCTAATGATAAAATACTAGAGATAATAATCATAAGTTACTAAGCTGACGTATTTCAATTGCTCGATTTCATTTCAGTGACAAAGAAAGATCAGTCCAGATGTCTAGAGCGACATCCCCGCAGTCTGTGATCGTGGGTCGCCCACCGACGAATGCGACACTCGTGGCGAGGTTTTGCCGCGAAAGAGCACCTAGGACTTGCGAGCATGCCCTATTGAGAAAGTCAAGAGCCTGCGCGAGGACAGAAAGTTTTTTGTCTAAAGGAGACTCGTTAACTTTGGAGCTGAAGCTGACACAGGGTACAGCGCTAAAGTAAGAATAAAATAAATCCTTCTACCTTTGTCTCGCATTCTTAAAGAAGCGTTAAATTGAAAAATAAAATGACATTTGTGAGGAAAATAAATTGCTCTAAAATAAATATTTGCTGATATAACTCAATTTCTTATTGATTGTTCTACTTCCAGCAGATTACTATTATAATAAAATGGAAAACTGTGTTGTTACTCATTAATAATTTCCTTATTTCCAAGCACAGACGAGATCAAAATGTCCAGTTTTATGAAAAAAAAAATCTAGTAAAAATCTGTTCTATTCATCTAAATTATTGTTTTAGACAAGAGCTTCTTCGGGATTCGATGATTAAAAAGGGGACATAGAAATTCTAAAAAAATAATTAAGGGCCTCAAGATTAATGTTTCTGATGCAAGCATTATTTATTGCAGGCCCGTATTCTTCAAGGCTCTTTACGAGTTTGTAGATCTCCACCAAGACGGAGAACCGTGGGGTCGCGGGTCCTGTTCCAGAAGATTCGTTTCCCGATCTTTCCCTGAAGCACCACCAGATCCGCCTGTCACTTTTTCATCTCCAAGAGACGTATTTTTATATGGCCGTGGTGGGGCGAGGAACATAAGGTAAGTTAATCAACTTTAATTAAAGATAAATAACGCCTTTGATTTTCGTTACAGAAAACTTGAAGGTGGGATGGGATGAAATTATTATTTATGTAAATTTACGGCCGCTGTCAAAGAAATCAATCAACTTCCAACCTTGATTAAAATTAGTGCTGGCGCATTTCCTGAGATGACAGAAAAAGACAGTTTTTCTGTTGACATCTCATCTCATCATCGGTAGTAATCACACTAATATAATAAAAGCGAAAGTTTGTGAGTGTGTATGTTTGTTACTTCTTCACGTCCAAATGGCTAGAGCGATTTTAATAAAATTTGGTATGGAGTTAGCTAACACCCTTTTTTAACACATAGGCTACGATTAACTGCAGGAACATATCCTTAATAAACCGCGGGTAATACCGCGAGACACAGCTAGTAGTATACTAAAGGAAATGTTAAATTTAAGTGTAGTTCAATAATTTATGTATAGGTGTCGTTATTGTCATAGCTATTGTTTTCAAGACTCGTTACGTATTATTTCCAGCTGCACTTATCGTTTTGAAGCCAATCCCGGGGAAGTAGTTCGGCTCCGCGTGTGGGGAGTGCGCAGCGGCGGTCGGCTCTGCAGGTCCGTGCACTCGGCCCACTCGCCCTGGTACCGGTGCGCGGGTGACATCACCGCCGCTGTCAGAGTATTCGACAGACCTTGGAAGAATAGCGGCCCAAATGTACCAAGGGACTGTTTGTGCAGGTGAATCTTGATTTTTCTACTGCACTTATGGGTTTCAAAGTGAATTTCCGGGAAGTAGTGTGGGAAGAGCGCTGTTGCGGCAGTCTCTGCAGGTCCGAACTCGGCTCACTCGCCCTGGTAAGGTGCGCGGCGACATCACAGCTGGCGCCAAAGAACAACAGCTTAGACGAACTCAGGGACTGTTTGTGCAGGAGAACCTTGACGTGCCTTACAAAATACTCATTATAATGTGAAAGTCGATAATATTTCCAAGTCTGACGACTTGTCATTTTTTTTGTATACGAGGCGCGACATATTATTCCACCTAATGTTAAGTGCAAGTCCAGTAGCGAAGAAAGATGTGGCAGAAAGTACACCTTGCCGACCTAAACCCAATATCCTACCCACGGAGCCCTGCAACCCTACTTACCAACAAAAATACAACACAACCAAAAGGTATTGTTCTTTTACTGTGGTCTTCTATAAGGTGGAGATTGATTCCTTAGACGGGTGCTCCAATTTGAGCGGGAGTCCGCTGTGATCTACCTCTTTTAAATCTGATGTAGTTACCCACTGCCCATCGTGCAGGGTAGCTATTCTTGCGGTGATTTTTTCCATCTTAACGGCCCATCTAATCTCCTCGCTATGTATTCCAATAATACTTTAATTTGATCTTTTACTTCAGGTCTGTGGATTTCCATGTGATTTGAGTCCTTTTTATGAGTTCCATACTCATATTATGATATTATGATCATTATTAGCCCTTTTACCATTATCATCATCAACCTATTAATATCCCCACAGCTGAGGTACAGGCATTAGGCCGCCCAGGAATAGAAAGATTGGGCCACGCGAGATTGGTACCAACTAATCCGCACTGCAGCCGGAACCAAAGGCTTAACAAGCCTTTCGAAGCACGAAGCAGCTCAAGATAGTAAATTTTGGGTTACTGCGAAAGTTGCTTAACTTCAAAGATAGCAGCCGAACGCGCTATCCACTTGCGCCATCGAGCTCCTAAATGACTCTACCAGTCATTTATTATACTTTAATGTTTTACTTTAATTCTGTGGATTTGCCCATCTCTGTCTTCGTGGACTGCTGTGTGATTTAAATCTTTTTATGAGATCCATCCATACTATATGACTTTATGATCATTAGCCTTTTATTTGAACATATTTCCATTTTACTGTGTTTGTTTTGTCTAGTGACGTCGGCGACTACGAGTTCACATCAACATCTACGGTTGCCGAACTAAAGTTTGATGTCGTGAATATGTCAGCGACGGACGACTTCAGGTCGTTCGGCTTCGATGCGTCTGTCGAGTTCGTCAGACTGGACACCACCTGTGACAGCTCGCATAGAGTGTACGGAGCGAGTGGGGAACTAAGATTGGTCAACACGATGCCCATATCGCCGGAAGTTGTAAGTATTAATTCTAGCATTTTCTCTAAATTATATAAACAGTAGTATATCCTTAACGTGTTCTATACAAAATGGAAATGAAAGACGAAGTTTAATTTTGATAATCCAGATCGCTAACAATGAAAGACAGGCTTATCGAATCACTCTTGCATAATGTTAAATCAAATTTTTGGAACTCCATATACCTACTTGTAGTAGAAATACTGCTAGAGGGTGCAAAAAACGACACATTAAATCCCAAAATGAGTTCTTGACTCATGATGATTAGTAACATTAAATTGGCATTATGCGAATGTTTATATGACTGAAAAAGACGTGCTCTGATTCCATTTTTAGTAGCATAAAATGACAAAAAAGGTCGAAGGAATGTACTTTATTGGAGTTTTACTCCTTAAGAATCGATTTGCGATTTGCATATATAAGGGGCCCGGTATGAGATATATGTGAGGAGTTAAATCGATCGATGAATGACCTCGTTACGTTTTTGTGCGCATCCTGTTACTTCGAGCCAAAATGACTCTTAAATCCGAGAGCTTAGGTGCAAAAGAATTAAATTGAAACTACAGTGTATTTTGTTAGACCATAGATTGCTTTATTAGTAAGGTGATGTTTTGCCTATAGTAGCTCCAAACATATTTACAAGCGTGATGCAACGAACTACAGCGCCATCTATTTTGATACATATGAACTAAAATTTTAAATGCACAAATGGCGTATACATAATCGCCCACCAAGGACAAACTGAGATTTGTCCTTACAAATATTATATTAACAACATGACTGTTATCGCCCACCATGACTTAAGGTAACAAAACAAATAAAAACACTAAGATGTACAATAACTTAAAATAATATATTTATGCACATCTGAAATTGACTATTGTAAAAAGTTTAATGTAAAATATTTCGTCGATTACAGTTATAATAAATGTATATGAAATGAATAAATATATATTTATATATGTATATTATTTTCATTAATTTTTTAATTTACTCTTTCATACAGTATCAATCTTTTTTAAGTTAAATAAACTCTTTTTGCGTCTGGTTAGACTATCGAACTTAAGGAGTAAACTCCAGTCGTGCGTCGGAGCTGACACACACAATTTTTTATTTTATTTGTACCTTACAGGATCGATGTGAACGAAGGCCCTGGCTCATCGACCCATCTCCCGGCCACTACTTGTACCTTCAAATCCGCGGAAACATCATCAAGGAACCGGAGCTGGACAACTTCACTCTACTCAACAACATCACAGCTGCGCCTGACTTGAGGCACCTCTGCAGGACGCAGAACAGATTAGCAGTTTACACCGGCGGACTATCTCCAGTTTTCATTTGCCCCGATCCTCCTGATGATCAGGTAAACAATTTTTATCAATATATTTAATTGTGTTCTGTTTCTGTCGTAAGGTAAGCTTCCGCGGGAGATGGTTTCCATTAACCATTGTGTAAGGGTAGACAACACGCGAATGATGATCTGATTTAGCAAGTACAAAAGACACAAGCACTACTAGATGATGGGTTACGGCCCGTCCTCCGTGTATGTAGGTACTAATCTACATAGTAAGGCATAAGAATATCCCCAGCAGTCACGATATTGGAAGGCTGGACCTTTAACATCAATATATCCAATATAATGAAATGACTTTACAACGTTGCGCTCAATAACTTTTGCTAGTTGTCATTTCGCCATTTTATTGTATGCCGGCATGTAATGAACGGTCTAGACACCCAATTGACTGGCTAATCTAACCAAATGTCGAAAGGACATCGACGAAATCGGCCCTAGCATGCCCAAAAGAATGTCCTTCACTATTATTTTTATATTATTTTTTTAACTTATTAGCAATTAATCATTGTAAACGGACAATCTGTTTAAGAAAATAATAAATAAAAGTTCTGTTACTAGATACTACAGTCTGTTCATCCAACTTGGCACTCCTTTTTATTGAAAATACAGCATTAAAAATCAACTGATAACTAGATTCAATAGGTTTCAGTCTATAGTAATGATTTATTTTAATAGTTTATTGGCTTCGTTAATATTTTATTATTAAACGGGTGATTCTGTTAAAAAGTTGTGCCAAGATTGTTTACCTTAATAAATGCAATATAGGCGACCATAGGTATTTATCAACATAAAAATAGAACTAGGTACCTTAGTCAATAATAGTTATTACTAGTATTTATATTATATTTATAAAAAGATTATTTCTGAAATTATGTTAGTTAGTTAGTTTATACTCCCATCCCATGTAATATCTGTTTATTTTTATGAAAATCATATTGATAACCAGGTACATACCTAATTACCCATAGTAAAATATAGAAACAGGTAAATAGAAAGACTGAACATTTCATTTGAAAAGAAATCTATTATTAAATAAATCTAGTTTTTACGGGTTAATGCACGAAACTTTATTTATTTATTGACGTTTCGTAGCCTCTACAGGCTTCGTCGTCAGAATAAAACTTTTATTTTTTTTAAAAACAATAATAAAATTAATAGCCTGTAAAGGCTACGAAACGTCAATAAATAAATAAAGTTTCGTGCATTAACCCGTAAAAACTAGTGTTATTTAATGAGTGATGTGCGTGAAAACCTAGGAAACAAATAAATCTATTATTACCTACTAAAGGTAGGTATAGGTATCATAGGTGCCAACTGACAACACTCATAAATCAATATGAATATAAGCATTTATTATTTTTATTATTAATTGCATTTTATGTTCAATTAATGCATATTATTTCAGTGCTTACATAGAGGCAAAAACTAAATCTATTCAGAATATATAAAGTGTACATCTTTTACGATTAAGTATAATAATTATAACCTCAAAATCTAATACATTCTGTAGTAGGCCACGGTTCCTCAAGTTGTCCGTATCTCAACAAATGCTTAATTAGAGTTTATGAATGATTCCGAACACAACTAGCATTTTCTCATTGCTGGGCGTTATAGGGCATTCAATGTATGGGGAACGAGCAATGTCCTTTAACTTAAGATTCTTTATATCACAATTTAGCAACATCATCATCATCATCAGCCTATTTATGTCGCCACTGCTGGTGCACAGACCTTCCCTATGGATGGAATAAATCAGCAACATAATGACATAATTATTGTAGTTCTTTTTCAAATTGTAATTTTAGATAAAAGATACTTAGGTTCAGGTTTCACAATTGCCAGGCATTCTAAAAATGATAACCGATATGAATTAATTTATGATTACAGAACGACGACGTTGTAGAGGTGTTTTCCGACGGTTGGCTCAAAGAAGTAGACCTTCTCGCTAGGCATGTGATGGCACCACCACCTTCCCCCGACCGCTTCGATCTTGACTGGCCCAGATCACTGTCTGTGGAACTTATACCAGCCGACCCTGGTAGTTACTACGTCACTTGGTTGGAACTTTCTAGAAGGTAAGAAGGGTATTCTGTGACTGATGGCTTAAAGAGGTAGTCCCTCTTACTATGCATGTGATAGTGCTGCCACCTTCCCCCGACCGCTTCGATCGCGACTGGCCCAGAAGAGATCTGGGCCAGTCGCGGACGCAGACAGAGGTCTGTGGTACTTATTACTGTCGACCCTGGCAGTTATAACGTCACTTGGTTGGAACTTTGTAGAAGTTAATATGTCCATAACGTATGCTATATACATATTATTTAGGTAGGTTCAGCAGTAATCAGCTGTTAATTTTTGGAGTGCTTTTATGCACGGACCCAGTTACTAGCACATGTTGTGAAACCTAAACCATTACTCATACCATCCTGCCTGATGTTATCACACCAACTATCCTCATCTTGCTGGGCTGCAAGTTGTTTCTTCGCATCTTACGTTTTCGGAAGTATCTACTTTCAACCACCCCTAATTGTATGTAGCCTCATTCTTGTTTTCGGAAGAACTGCTGCCCGTCATCAGACGTATGCATATCAACTGCGCAGTGGTGTTATGCCGCGCAGTGTAGCAGCATTGACTAAACGCATCCAGTTCCTAGCACCCTAAAACCATATGTTAAAAATGTACCTTTATTACGTGTCTACAAGCAGGTGATTCCTCACGGCAGCGTGTCCGCATTATCGGGCGAGTTCGAATACCACTGCCTGTCGTTTATTGCATGCATATCATGGCACAAATCCGAATTTATGTACGAGTCCACTAACGAGCGCAATTATATGCAAGTTTCAATTCAATGCGCGCACCTTCGTCAGCCTATATTTCGCTTCGACTTGTGCTAACATCACAGCTGCCATTAAGTTTGAATCACCTTCTTTCTACCTATAGGCAGCCGAGTCTCCGCGGCGGCATTTTCGCGATATCAGTCGAGTGCGATTACCGCTTCCCGTTGCTGTGGTGCGACTATTATGAACGCATCCAGCGCATCCAGTACCTTGCACCTCATGTTAAGCTCCTCTATTACTTGCCTACAGACAGCCGAGTCCTCGCGGCGGCGTGTTCGCGCTATCAGGCGAATGCGAGTACCGCTGCCCTTCACTAGATGCGTGCATATCGGCAGCGCTATGGTGCGACGGGGTAGCGCAGTGCCCGCACGGCGAGGACGAGCGCCTGGCGCAGTGCTCGGCGCTGCTGCGGCTGCCCGCGCACTATGCCGCCGCCATGCTCGCCTTCACCATACTCACTGCCTTCGCCGTGGTATATATTACTAATTCTAAGATTCTATCATAACTAATGCAAAGTGAGTTTGTTTGTTACTCTTTCACGCAAAAACTACGGAACAGATTTGGATAAAATTTGGCACACTGTTTATGACCTAGATTGAGACTAGGATGAAAAAGTTAGGTTCAAGTATAACACATATATGCGCAAGGATGTTTATGAAGGTGGCAAAAATGCAACGCCGCTGTCTTTGTAAACGTCATATTTTGTATGTCATTTACGGTTGTTTACGAAGACAATGACCTCCCTGAACTGTCACTCACATAGAGAAGAATATAACATTTAAGAGCTAACCAGGACCAAACTATCCAGAACCATAAAGATTCTTGTCGCACTGTAATCGTTGCATTGATACGCGAAGAAGAAGAAGAGAGAGGAGCTCGATGGCGCAAGTGGTTAGCGCGTTCGGCTGCGATCGTTGAAGTTCAGCAACTTTCGCAATGGTCGGTTATTGGATGGGTGACCAAAAATTTACTATCTCGAGTTCCTCCGTGCTTCGGAAGGCACGTTAAGCCGTTGGTCCCGGCTGCATCTGCAGTCGTTAGCACCCACCAATCCGCACTGGGCCCGCGTGGTGGGTCATGGCCCAATCTCCCTATTCCATCGATAGGGAAGGCCTGTGCCCCAGCAGTGGGGACATTAATAGGCTGATGATGATGATGATGATACGCGAAGGAGAAACTTTTGTACCCCTTCTTAGCTGATCGCACATTTTTCAGCACGTAGGCAGAGATGTTATAGATATCCTAAAAAAGTAAAATATAAAATACTAGGTAGTCAAGTATTTAGATAACAGATACAAGATACCTTTGGAAAAAGTTTTTGAAATATACAAGAAAATACAAGATACGTATTTTCTAAATACTGTAGAGCCAAAGATACTTTTTGGAAGAAAGCATATTATTATTGATTTGAACGTTATTAAGTTAGTAAAGAAGAACGTTCATCTGTGACCCCGACCCGACAGAAACGAGACATATCTCAGTTTTTTTGTTATATTTTTTTATATTCGAAATCAATTGATAACATCAAAATATTATCTCATGTTTCAGACCTTTTTACAAAATAATACAAAAGCCCTATAGATATGGGATGTATCTAGGTGACCTGGAGATGCAGTTGGATTACATAATTTTTGAACTCCTAGTACATTGAACTTAGGATTCATTTAAATCGTGGTATTTGACGATTCATTGCAGATCACAGATTCAGGTTTCTATTTTTGGGATTCCAGGATCTATAACAAAAAATAACAATATGTCAAAATAAAGTTTTTTTTTGTATTTCTATGTCCATTTAAAATATAATGCATATCCAGTGCGGGATGGATGGTACCAAAGTAATCTCGACGTCTAGCCCACCTTAAGTAATACACAATACTAATGATATGTGCGCAACTTCCCAATGTCACCACGGTAGCTCGAGCAGTAAAATTCTGTGATTGCGGTTTATCCCATTTATATAATACATGGACTCTGGAACACAGTTCGACATGATCTTTACAGATTTTAGTAAGTGTTTTGATAGGATTGATCATTCCATCCTGAAACAGTAGCTTTACTGCGCCAGAATCCATGGAAACTTGTTCCGATTGTTTTCATCGTGTATCGAGAATCGTTTGTTTCTGTCAGGTCTGTTTTTTTTCTATGCGGTGCTACTGTTCTTCTTTGTATTTCAATGTAACTTTTTAATCTTATTGCAAATTTAATGAGATTCATCCACTCCGCTCGAATTGAAGCGCCCGTCTGCGGAAGTAACCTCCACCTTAAAGAAGACACAGTTAAATAACACTACCTCTTGATAGTGTTGTATTTGTGTCGGTGAGTAACATTTCAAGGCTCCACGGGGTAGAGGACTGGGTCAGGGTAGGACCTACTTTTAATGTAAGTAGGATCTTCTCTTCCCACAATAAGGAAGCACTAATCATTATCATTAAAGTATCTTAATTCAGAACGATTATAAGATTTTAACCTACATTATTTCTGACATTGTGATGCCAGTGAAACACGGTATTAAGTCAATATAAATTAATTTTCCTGGCTAAAATGTCCGGCAAAAATATCAGCCTCACCTGATGATAATTGTATGATACTGACGTGCCTTTCTCTAGCCAGCATGTATACTATTTCCCTACATTATTAACAAAATATATTTATTAGAAGTAAGTACATTAAAATTCAACTTTATAAATATACATTACAATTCCAGATTGCCGTGGCGCGTTCCTGTCGCAGAAGACGTTCCGCGCTCCAGCAACGACTCAAAAGCTTATCCTCGGACACCGCAATCTTCGACGAGAAAGAAGTGATTTGCTGACCCAGCGAGGACTCCGTGCGATACGTGGAAATCGACCGAGTCACCACTGTGTGACCGGCCCTACGCATGGAGTCCTTCAAATTCACTGTTGGCAATTAAGCAAGTTATACTAGTAATAAGCTGAGGGATATTCTCATAAAAATTGTTGAGACGCTCGCACCAATCCGGTCGTCGGTCGTGACGCTAATTTCCGATGTTCATGTTGAATTATAGATAATGTAGGAATTGATAGATTGAAATGAATCCATGGACTGTGAGGTGTAAACGATAACGAGTTCTTTACTTGCGAAAAACTTATCTGAATTGTATCGATAGATCAACTACGTTACTTCAAGATGTAATGGCTTTTGGAGTTTCCTCGATAACACATACTCGATTTACAATGAATTATAAATTTGATAACATATTCACTCGAAATGTAAATACGATAAAATTTACTATTGTAGTAGAATTGTAGCAAGGATGATATTTTACGGACCAAGTGCAGTCGATCGGTGGCCAAATCATGTTTCGTCATTGAAATCTTCATAAAGACGAAGGACGTAATAATAACTCGTGTTTAATGATTTATCGTTGAAAAATATAGAATGAAATTGAGAATTATGTGCATAATAGTAGTACTAATTATAAAGATGAAAAAAATATAAGAAAACAGAAAGTAAAAAAAAAACTGATGACGGTGTATTATTATTAGAAATGAATAAAACACAAATAAATAAACAATGATATAAAACAATAACCAGAGACTTACGCGGATTATAAAAATCAATTATTATGCTATGGTAATTATATGCATGAAATTGAAAAAAAAAATACAGTTAAAGAGAAATTTTAAATTTATGGAATGTGCAAAGTTTTTATTATAAATTATTCGTTTGAGATAGTATTATAGGGATGCACGATCAAATTGTCAGGTCAGCCAGCAAGCTTCTGTATCATTAAAAACTTTGGTTGTCTAAGATGAATGATATTATTCCATCGGGAAATTTAAATTCTGAGAATTCCAGCATCTGTTGACTACAAATTATCTCCAGTATGCCACTTCTCTGCATAGGTACGAAAGAGCATAGAATTAATATTTTTGCTGAGATAACGCACAATGTTACATCATGAACGTTTGACCGATCGACTTGTGGCACAAATTTAATAACATTTAAATGTGATTGGACATGATGTAAATAGTTAAGAATTCGTAGCGTCTCTTACTCAAGGTTCGTTATCAGAATTATTAAAAAACTATTTTTAAGCGTAAGTGATTATGATTCGGCAATAAAGTCGTTTAAGTTAACAAAGTGTACTTGATCCTTTGTTTTCAATGTTGTTCTTTGGTATAGGGAATGTGAATTTTGGATTAGAATTGTATTTTTTTTATATCCTATTTTCGAATATGGACTCCAGATTTATTAGTCCAATATTGACTGGTTGGTTGGTTGGTTCGTATATATTTTTTTTTATAAATATTATTTATTGTTTACTGACTAAATTGTACATTTGATAATAAAAATCTAAATCCTTGCTATCAAGAGAGTACTAATTTTCATATTAGACATGAATAAATTAGAAACAGGATATCCTAACTAAATAAATCGATGTAAATAAAAACTAAACTTATTCATATCTTAGAAGTGTATTGAAGTGATATATGTTTGTTTCCCAAGGAAATTAATAAAGTTTATAATATCGCGTTAACTATTAGTGAAAATAATAGTAATAAATTGATCTTAAATGAGAACAACTTCTTACAAGTTGAATGATTCAAAGGAATGATTGTCGATATATCTTTAGTCAATGTGATGCCAAATGAAATCATGAAACGAACACTGCCAAGATGATTACGAATTGATAAATCGGTTTATGTAATTCGATAATTGTATAATGTAAATAAATAAAAAAACAAGTTATTTCGAAAAAAGAAGTTGGATCTCATTTATATCAAATTAGAATTAGAGATCTGGTAATTGATTTTTTAGATAGGCAATATGAAGAAATAATATTAGGATAATAAGAATAAAAAAAACAAGTGTTCTTTAAAATCATTTTGTTTCGACTAATGGTTGATTCAGATAGGTTGTCACGTTGCATCAAGTTTTAGAAGTTGTTGTTATTCATTTCTAGGTGAAATTGTATTGTTTTATAATAAAACTATTATAAGAATGGTATGTATGTAATTAGTCTCACTGGTTAGTTAAAGTTCGTCTTCCATTACGTATGATAAATCCCGATTTCTTTCTCTCCGTTTTTATGCCATATCAAAAAGTCCGGAAATTACAAACGGAAATTATTAATTAAACAAACAAGAGTTCTCCTGGAAGACAATAATGATGGATAATAGCTGTTTAAGCAGAGATTACCTAATTTCAGGTTTAAAACAATGTTTACGAAGAATTACGATGATATAAGAATTTTTTAAATAAAATTACTTAAGTTATGGTCAGTCTGTTTTTATTTTGAATCCAATGACCTTCCTATTGTTACTTAATGAGGACAGAGTGGCGTCTGAATTCTTATCTGCCTTGATTGCCCTTCTCGTTCAACTCTGTGTTAGTGATACCATAGTAGATATCAGAGCTGATTTTATTGCTTATCATCGTGCTCACCAAAGATCACAGAAAGCCAAGTTTGATGAACTGGCCACTCAACATGAATAATATTTAATGAGACGATTCATTATAAAAGGAAGTAGGCATATATTTACCAACCAATTTAATTTAGACTTGAAAATATTTCTTATAAATATCACATCATTCGATTCTCAACTCTGAAAGCTCGATGGGCATAGTGGTTGGCATATTTGGTTTGCAATCATTAAAATTATGTAGGCATTGCAGTGGTCATTCATATTATGGCTACCCAGAAATGTATTACATCGTATTCCTCCGTCCTTATTAGAAAGCACGTAAAATCATTGGTCCTGTCTGCATTTGCAGTCATTAAAACCTATCAATAAACATCGGACCTTTCTGAGTTATACCCTACTTCTTTTTCGGGGACGACATTGATAGGCTAATGATGCTAATGAGATTATGAGCATCACCATAATCTTGATTTACTTCTGTGCTGTTGTTCAAAAGATTTTGACTAGCGTTTGTTGGTCTTGTGTATGTTTGTATATCTTGGTATTATTTTACGCAGATATGTTTATTTGATCGTATAATAGATAAGTAATCAATAATACTTCCTGAATACTGTACAAAACTGTTCCAATATTTATTATCTAAAAGCGACATATCAAATCGATAAATAGTAAACAAAATACTATGAACAATTGATAAGTCTATTAGTATCATATTATATCATTAATCTTGACAATTCCTGTGTTTACACGTTTCCTTCGGGGGGAGCTAAGGCTTGGGGCAAATGATAAGATCTGTTTATGATTTTATTGCCTTCGGTAACGTCATCGGTAATATCCTTCACAGGAGTATTTAAGTCTACTAACCAAGTGGATGGACTGCCACCTTTCTTGTAAGCTTCCATCACACCAAAAACTGCAGACTCAATTCTGAAATAAATATATTATTATTATAGTTAGAATATAGTTACATTGACCCATAAGAATACACATTCCACCTTTTATCACTTACGATTGTTTTGGTGAATTAGATACTTCTAGCATGGTTTCTTTGAATTCGGGATCAAACGTCTCAGTCCCGTTAAAGGTCACTAAGGCAGTGTCAGTTACACCAAAGCATACAGTCACAACCCGCACGCCTGTCCTAGAAAATGTCGGTTCCATCTAAAAACAAAGAAGATGGTTTAACTTTATATGCTTTCAATTTATTGAATTAAAGGGTGTGCGGTTGTACAGCATTAATACAAACGCCAGTTCTCATTAATAGGCCGAATGACCGATCCTGAATAAATGTCGCGAACGTAGTGCTGAAATTTGACTTTTGGAATCACAATTCCATAAAATTTCATTCATGTTCGATCATGGACTTATATGATACAGTTTACTGTTCATTTGATAAGTATTGTTTTTTTTACTTTAAAAATAATATAGACTTTTAAAGAAATAGTGTAAATGTGTGGTGATACGACACTGAACATTCCCGCCGTATTTGGCATTGGTCGGTTCCAAATGATGACTTGAAACTTAACACTACAGTAAAAACCATCGTATTGCTTTATGTGACAGACTCAATGGGCTTATTGCCTATCACCAAATTCCATGAATTGATACTGATTTACTACACGATTTATACAAAAGTTAACTATCGCACTGTGTTTTTCCTTCGATCCCACCCCAAAAACCCTGTTAGCCTTTTAAAATTCAGTTAATAAATGTCTTATCATCGGGTTAGTACATGCGCTTATAAGATATAATTTACCCTATCGTGTGGCATATAGTTGAATAGATCCTTTAAAACGACTTAGGAGTTGCTAAGATTATTTTTCGATTTAGGGATCCGTGTGTAAAATATTAAAACTTAAAGTGCAAATTTTGTTTGAGTAGGTTCCCCCCATCCATCTAAAGTTAAACTATTGGCTTAGGAATCTGAAAAATATCATGATAATAGTCTTTCAAAAAATATGACGCTTAAAATAGATCAGTGAATTTAAGAGTAATAGTCGTTCATCTTATGTACTATTAACATATGTACTTAATAAAAAAACCATAGAAGAACACAATAAAAGTGACTTAGATGAAGTTATTGCTTGCTTATATCGCATAAACCTTGAATTGAAAAAATAAATAAAAAACTATTAAAATAAAAACATTAAAATATCTACGGAACTGCGCGTGGCACTATACGCACTTGGCGGGTTTTTATTGGATATGGTAAACCTCAAAGTTGGTTTTAGATAATTTTGGATTTTTTTGATTTTTGTAATAGCCAACTGTATATAACAAAAATTAAAGCCACAAAAAATGATAAAACAAAAGCTCTTTAAAAAAAAACCACTGCAAAACTGAAAAGCAGAAAATAATATACCCTTTTATCTTTAGTCAAATTAATATTTGGAGTTTATGGTGATGCCATGCCAACCACATAGTAAATGGGAACTCAGATCTAACAAACATTCATGGCACCGATTCCAAATATTAATTTGACTAAAGATATGAAGAGTCATTATTTTCTGTTTTATTTTTTGTATTTTCTGCGACTTTTTTTTTTTGCTAAAAAGTTTTTATTGTGCGATCTTTCTTAAAGTAGATTATTTAAAAATATTATACATTACCCCTAGGCAATTACTGAACTTCAAAACTGCACTCTTTGTGGCGCAGTAAATTGGCACAGTTGGTGCATCTACTAGTGCTAATACTGATGATATGTTGATGATAGTACCTCCTTTTCCACCTTTATCTTTGCGCATTAACTCATATGCTTTAAGGGAACTGGTTATTAAAGCTGTCTGTAAACAGAAAGTTATATAACTCTCTTCTTATAACTTAGTATTAGGGTGATCAAAACAAGGCCAGGAAGTTAATGAGCAGTATACTTTTTTGTCACATGAGATTTCTTCAAAACTCCAGGACTCCAGTCAATCTTAACACGAGGGGGGTGACAGTAAGATAAGATTTATTTAAAGAGACTAGACTAGACTTAAACTCTTGATTATCAGGTATGTATGTATATAGTATTTCACATCAATCCTTCTAGCCACTTACATAAAATTTGAGTTATCTGATAAACTTAAAAATCTTAAAATAAAAATAGTGAGAATATATGTACGAGTAAATATTGATTTATAACGTTTACGCAATAACCTATAAACGGCGCGCATTTGTATTTAAGATACCAAGAAGAATGTAATTATTATTAGCCCTTTAAATTACGTAGATCCTTAAAATATTTTTATTCGAATCAATTTATGACTACTAAAATTTTGAAGGTTTCATAATTGCATAATTTATGAATTTAAGGCGGAGAGACTTTATCCAATAAATTAAAGAAAATAAATTGTTTTGCGGTAATATTGCCTATTACGATGTCTAAATTCGCTAGTTTTTTTTTTTTTTTTTGTAACGGTATATTATGTCCTCTGAATACCATTTAGTATATTTAGTATTTTGCCCTCTCAGGTTCGAGGGGTCTAGAGGTTCCAGATGGAGATGAAAGACTCCCCCCCCCCCCGTGGGGAGATGCCAACCGCCTGGAATACCTCTAAAGGCACAAGCCAATTCTCAGCTTGAGGATCACGCCGTCTCCAAACCCGGTAACACTGTAAAGGTCATCTGCGACCAACAGCATACACACACAAAAAAAAAGTATTTTACAGATCATTCCTGGACCGATACACAGTATATTAAACTGTTATTTTCAATATTCAAATCTCGCAAGGACACATACAATTACATCACGTTGCACCATTTCTTAAGGAATATGAGATGCAACAGACTACAACATTGTCATCTAAAATACTCACCACGTTAACATTAATGGATTTGACATAAATATCAGGATTATCGTTCAGTATTCCCGCAGCATTGACTACGATATCAATGTAACTAAATTGGCTGATGAGTTCATCATAAGCATCGGTCAATTCACTAGTTGTGATGTCACACTTGCGAAATTTTACCCTTTCCTGTCCATATTGTGTAGCCAATTCTTTTTCCAATAGATTTCCACTTGCAATTTGAATATCTAAAAATGTTACATGCTGAAAAGATAGAAATAAAACTCAATAACAATTTAAGTATTCTGGCACCACTTAGTTGTTACTCATAATTAGTTAAGACTTACCTTGGCTCCTTCGTGCAAAAATGCTTTGACAATACGTGCTCCTATACCAGCTGCTCCTCCAGTTACCAAAACTACTTTACCATCTACTTCAAACATTATGCTAATTTGTTTTATAAAGATTTTTATTAAATAATCGAAACTACTTTTTCTTACTCTGTTTCTTTATATACGTCTTATCCTACTTATTCTATAACTAAGTTGTTAATCTACTCATTGGTCCAAATATATATCCCATCTTATCAATTTAATCATATCATTTTTATCTTTGTTTGTTATTTTTCTATGTTCCTAAATTCTGCTTTACGTAAAAAGATGACAAGCGAGAATACGGCCTGGGCGCTTGTTAAAGAGTCACGATTTTAAGTCTACGTCTTGTCGACAGTTAAGAAGGGGAGAATGGGGGTTTGTTAGCGACACTGGCGATAGCTACGGGTTGGCCCTGTAAAAAACCGGTCATTAACAAGCGTCCTAATGGTCATAACCACAGATGCTTGCGATACCAGAGTATCAGTCGTGCTGTTGCCTACTAAATTCTCTATACCGTGAGTCCTGGAAAGACAAAATCAAAAGTCATTTATTCAGTCTAGGCTGTTACAAACTCTTGTGAAAGTTGAGAAGCTTCGCCATCGGTTCGCAAAACTACGGTGGGAGACCTTGTGTCTGAGAAGAACCGGCAAGAAACTCAGCAAGGTCTGCTTTTTACCCTGTATTATATACAGAGTCGTCAAATTGAAAAATTACTTTAGAGGTAATTCTGAAGTCATTTTCCATTACATAGTTAGAATATAGCGACATACAATAAGTTGAATAGGGAGCTTTACATTTTTCGTAGGTATATAGGAAGCGGCTTCAAGATACCATATCAATCAATCAATCAAATACTTTATTTGTGATACACGGGTAAAAAAAAAGTAACATGTGTGTTAAATTATGCAGCCGTGATCAGCCCAATTATTCAGCAAATTATATTTGTATGCCAACAAATATAATTTGCTCAGGACAATTACAAAATAATGTCCATTTGTCCATTATGTAAGTAGTAATCAATTTAATTGTAAGTATATTAAATAATTCATTCACTTAACCAATATTCAATATATAATGTCAATCTATTAAAATGTCAAATTATATTTATAAAAATATTTAAAATACATAATAATAATGTCACTAACAGGACATCCAGACAGATAATAATTATAATTTACTAGTCAAAAAATTTATTAAGTGAATAAAATGTATTATTTATATATTATTATTGTTATGGAAAATGTCCAATACCATTACATTACAAGAAACACCACGTCCGCGGATTACGATCATTATGATAATCATTAATTTTATAATAGCCCTTACTCATGTAGGACAGAACTACATAAGAGGGCGAGCGCTGTAGCCCTAATTTCCTGATGCTTCACCCACACCTTCGCTAAACACCTGAGTTAATTAACGCACGTTTCTTTACTCTTGTGGCGTTCGAAATTTTAGTACCATCACATCATCCTTCAACAGCTGCACATACATATTTATCGTCTCCTAAAATAACTTAAAATCGTCCCCCCATAGGCGCGTTATTATGGGTCATAAGTACGCTCCTTCAACATTATGCCCAGTAGCCCTAATTTTGCTGCACATACATATTTATCGTCTCCCAAAACAATTTAGAATCGTCCCCACAATAGGCGTTATTATTGGTCGATATTATTGGATGCGTTATTGCGATATCTGTTTTAGAATTGCTACGAAGTTAAGCACTGCTGCGATAATAACGACGCAATAGAAGTATACGGCACATTATCGTAATAACGCATCCGATATTGTTGACCGGTACAAACGCGCCTATGGTGCTGAAATAATCCATTTCATATTCATATCAATTTATTATTAATCCTGACTAGTTTTCAAGCATGAGAATTTTCTTTATGGCAATAAATTAATTTGTTCTTGTTCTTTTCTGTATTCACTTCGACCGAATTTAAAAGTAATAAAAAAATCCCCCCTAAACATATTAATACAAACTAGCAAACCAGTGAACCAAATGTTCACCAAAAAAAAAAAAAAAAAATTGAGTACTTCGGAGATTTTGTGTGGTTTCGTTTGAAATAGAAGTCACGTGATTTCTCGAAAACGGAAGTGCTACGTTACTCACATCCGGTTTGTAGTCTTATCAGACTATTCTTAACTTATAACTTAAACATTCTCTATATCTATCTCTTACAGTTTGGCCGCTGAAACAGCACCACGGACGGACGGACGGACTTGTCTATTAGATAAGAGATATTTTTTTTGTAACAACTGTCATGTTGTGAAACTCTGTATTTGACTTAAGGTTTATTCCATGAATTTTCCATGAAGATTCGAAAAAAAAAGAAATGTGGATGGATTTGTTGAAACGAATACGAATAATCTTATTACCTATCAGTATTTTTTTATTTAATCCTCTACATTTAAATATGTCAGCTTGTTGTTTTAAATGTTTTAGATTAAATTACATTATAATGTTCCTTAATAAGCCAAGTTCAAATAAGCAAAACTTATATGGTATCAAGCCGCAGTTATAGTGCACATTCGTGGTATTCCATATTTTCCATTTTATGCGTTTGTATGATGTCGGCTCATTATTTTATAAGCTTCGTTCACGTAGGAAGTGATATCCTCAGCAGGTTTGTCAGCAGTTATCAACCAAGTGGAAGCGCTTTCACCTTTCTTAAACACTTCTAACATCCCACGGACTGCGGACTCAGGCCTGCAAGAGTCGTAAGTATTTTTTTATAACCGAAAGTTCTTTCTGCGACTAATTTTTCTTGCAAAATCATCTACCTAATCAGTTTTGATAAATATGGAAGTAAGCTTAGTATATTCATTCTGAAAAATGGAGGCGGATGGGAAGTCACTCTATAATGATGAAATTAACAAAATAATCTATCATTAGCATTAAATAATATTACTTATAGAATGTTGAATCAATATGAATATAAGCATTTATATTCGAAAAAAAATTAAACTGTACTTTAACAAATGTTTTTTGACATGCAATTATAACTATAATAAATCAAGTCGTTACATAAATAAATTTAAGAATAATTAAAACAAAAAATATACTATAACAATGAACCTAAAACTAAAAACCTTAAAAAATAAAATATAATAACTAAAATACATTATTAAAAGGAGTCCCTTTAGTTGAATGTTTTTAACAAAGTCAATTATTAGTTAGTTAGTACTTACTTTTGCATGGGAGCTTCTTTGATGTACTTTATCAGAACCCCCAACTGTTCAGGTTCGAATACCCCAAATTTGCTACTCTGCAGCAATGTCGTGTCCGTGCAACCGAAGCATACGGTTAGCACTCGAACTCCGCTCCTAGAGTATGTCGGTTCCATCTGAAAAACCACAAGTATTTGCTATCAAACTATGACAATGGAAACCCTTGCTGTTTGTCCGTCACACTGACCGTGAGCTGTGTAACTCAAGACCCGTAGAAAAAAAAAGACAGGTATAAAGTTGATTATTTTTTACAGAATGTGAAGATACATATATATTTTATGTTGCTGATAAAACAACAAAATAAATATAAATTATAGAAATTTAACGAAAAAGGAATATTCTCTGATATAGAAACCTTGCTATGGCAATTTGCAAAAACAGACGTTTTGTAAGTATGATTCGATGCTACGAAGTTACATATGGGTGTAACACCTGCACTTAGCTTAAGAGTTTTTTTTTATATAATTTTGTTGTTACATTTATCACGTTCGATTCTATTAGGATACCTAGTACACAATGTTACCACAAACTGTCAACTTCTCTCAATAGATTGTAATTTTTTAGGTAAACCGTAATTTGGAGTTTAGCAATTTTGGGTAACTTGGCTAGGATTACAACCCCATTATAGGTCTCTTAGCTTTATATATTTCTCAAATTTCTTTTAGCTCGCGTCCGCTCTTAATAAAAACAGATTACGTAAGCATATTTTGTACAAATAAAGAAAAACTATATTTTGATTCGTACTATTTAACAGTCGGTGTTTAACTTTCCTCCCAAGAGCATTATTGAACTGTAAAACAGCACTCTTAGTGGCACCGTAGATCGGGACAAATTTTTACTTGTCCTATTTAACAGTCGGCGGTTAACGTTCCCCAAGAGCATTAGTGAACTGTAAAACAGCGCTCTTAGTAGCACCGTAGATTGGGATAAATTTTGTTTTGCCCTATTTAACAGTCGGCACTTTTCTTCCTCAAGAGCATTACTGAAGTGTAGAACTACGCTTTTAGTAGCATTGTAGATTGGGATGAATTTTGATTTGTCTTATTTAACAGTCGGCGTTTAAATTACCCCAAGAGCATTACTGAAGTGTAAAACAGCGCTCTTAGTAGCACCGTAGATTGGGATAAATGTTGATTGGTCCTATTTAACATTCGGTGCTTTCCTTTCCCCAAGAGCATGACTAAAGTGTAGAACTACGCTTTTAGTAGCATCGTAGATTGGGATTAATTTTGATTTGTCCTATTTAACAGTCAGTGTTTAAATTACCCCAAGAGCATTACTGAAGTGTAAAACAGCGCTCTTAGTAGCACCGTAAGTTGGGATAAATTTTGTTTTGTCCTATTTTACAGTCGGCACTTTCCCTTCCCCATGAACATTACTGAAGTGTAGAACTACGCTTTTAGTAGCATCGTAGATTGGTATGAATTTTGATTTGTCCTATTTAACAGTCGGTGCTTAACTTCCCCTAAGAGTATTACTGAAGTGTAAAACAGCGCTCTTAGTACCACCGTAGATTGGGATAAATTTTGATTTGACCAATTTAACAGTCGCTGTTTAACTTACCCCAAGAGCATTACTGAAGTGTAAAACAGCGATCTTAGTTGCACCATAGATTGGAACAAACGGGGCTCTCGACAACGCTGCTATAGACGCTATGTTGATGACAGTGCCTCCTTTGCCCGCACGGTCTTTGCGCATCAGCTCATATGCTTTCAAAGAACTTGTTATAAGAGCCGTCTGAAAAAATTGCATGTTTATGTTACCAGATATGGTAAATCGATCTACTTAAAGGGGAAAACCGGGAGACCTGCCCAGACTGTTTTGTTGTGATTTGCGTCTCGCAATAAGGGCAATAAACGAATTAACGTATTTAAATAAACAATTGGAAGACAGTTCAACTCTCCGACCTGGGTAAGTCTTCCGGTTTTCCCCTGCATATGAAAGGGCACAATACTGACTTCGGTGAAATCTTTTTTAAACAACTTTTATTGTATACCATATTATTATTTATGCATAATATCGCTAAGGCGTTGAACACCGCCTCAGTTAATGTTTTTGTAAATGGTATATTATTACTACTTAAAGATGGCATTACGCACTAGCTAAAACATTTGTTTATGCATATCTAAAATGACACCTAATTACAATTATTATTAACATCTCTAAGTGGATTCTTGAATGTCTAGTGGCTTTCAAACTGGTCATTGACCAATAGTTACATTTTACTGTGCATCAAACAACCCCGACTGAGTAACTAAAAATATATTGAAAGCTTCTATTTTATCGGAGAATTATATAACGCGTTTTGAAGAATGTTAAGCCAATCAATAACAGAACGTGATAGTAAACTTAAGATAATAATATTAACAATATTTTAAACGGCTTTGTTGTGTAATCGCAATGACATAACAAATTTCTAGTGACTTTAATTAGATTGATAAGAGTTATATAAGAGCTACTATTAAACATTTTTGTTTATTTTTCTAAAATGATAAGATTCGGACTTTTTTATATGTACATCGATATGTCATGTTTCTTTAAATTAATATAAATATTGCGATAAAATTACTATCTACTTTTAATATATTAGATTCTAAATAATCAAAATGAAGCTATGAAATACTATATTATAATTTTTAATTTTAAGCGGGAATCTCATCGATTTGTAAATCTGTACTAATATTATAAAGAGTCCCTAAGTAGATTTACTCACCACATTAACTGCAATAGCCTTAGCGTACACATTCGGGTTATCGTTCAAAATGCCAGCACAGTTGATAACGCCGTCTATGTATGCAAAATTATGTATCACATCATCGAATGCTGCATTCAAATCGTCTGTAGTGATGTCACACTTGTAGAATTTGACTTTTCCCGTTCCGTGCTTTGTCACTAAGTCTGATTCCAGCGCTTTTCCACCTTTCTCATCTAAATCTAAGACAGCGATATGCTGAAATCACCAAATGCAAAAAAACTATCTAGTCTTAATTATGAAAATAATCTGTATAAATTGAGTGGCTATTGAATGTCTTAACTAGGAAAGGAATCTGTACAAATATAAAATAATTTCTCATTAAAAATCTTGACGAGATAAAAACAATCATTTCGTGCTTGTTATAACTTAAGTATAGTATTTGAACCAAGGCCAATCTAGAACTACGATCACGACTACAACTTCACATTCACGTGTGCGTGCACACAACAACAGAAATAATATTTCTATGCACGCAAGCTTGTCAGTCTAGATAATTTACAGTTTTTATTTGTACTTTAAACATTCATGCCCAAAAGAAAATTTTACTATAAAAAACTCCACGCGGACCAGGCAGCAGACTCGAACCCGCACCCTTCGCTATCCGGGCGAATGCACTGACCATTATGGGTAGAATATTTTAGTAAAGTTTTCTTTAAATTAAAACATAACACAACATAATTACTATTTCTTTTCGCAAATGTTTTATTAATTTGACATTGTGTTTAACCACTATGCGAAGAGATGCCGCTGCCTTGAAGCCTAAGGCTAGAGAAACTTCGACACGACCATCGGGGCCGCATTAGCATAATGGTCAGTGCATTCGCCCGGTAAGCGAAGGGTGCGGGTTCGAGTCCTGTCTGTTGCCTGGTCCGCGTAAATTTTTCTCTAGTAAACTATTACTAAAACGTTCCTTAACATCATGAGAAATAGCCTCGTTTCGTTTGTCGTTTGTCGTTCGTCACTTGTAAGTACATACTTAATGGACTCCTTGCATGTATTAATCAGGTCACGATAATATTTGTTCCTTAGGTTTTCGCGCAAATCACTCATTAAATAAACCAACACCTGGCAGCTGAACTACAGCATGTCGAGCGAGTACTGAAGGATAATAATCTGAATGTACCACGTCGCCGTCACAATCGCACCAAACCTAGCACAGTCGACCGACAGCCTTACATGAAAGGAGTCACTGACAAAACAAGTAGAAGACTTGAACGAGCTTAACTTTTTTGTATTTATGTACGACTTGATACTTCCAATTACTAGCAATGGGTTATTGTTAGTGCTGTAAGAATCTGAAACTGTCATATTGTGCATACATATTCGAAAGTTACGGTTTCAATTTACTGAAATCGAGAATTATTGGCATCAGCGCTTACATAATTAAGGTAGAGGAGAGGACAAATTTTATCCATATACAAATACGAGATTTTAAATCTATATCTACGGAAATGACAGCTAATCACGGTTTCATCTGAGTTTCTCAGTTTTTCCTTGAAATTTTGCCAAAATACGATCTTTTCTAGTATATGGTACGATCTTCTGAAAAATAAATTTGGCAACACTGCCCTGCCCTGCGGTGGTAATGTCTTAATAAATCAATCGTTTAGACCAAAATATTCTAACACAAGTAAGTGATTTGCTCGCGATGTGGATGCTTTGTAGGCAAACAAAAAAGGCTGGTAACACAACGCAAGATGCATCGTTAATACGCTGTACGTGGTACGAAAACAGTAGACACTTTCTTCATTGACATTCACCAAAATTAGTGACAGCGGTTTAGATATAAAACATACTTTTACATGTATTTAAAAATAATAAATTTATGTTTTAAAGTCCAATAAGTGTACACAACATTAATTTTACTACCCATTATAAATAACGTGATCCAGTGCTTATAAATATGTGACTATAAAGATAAACGATTTTCATTATTTTATTACATCTATGTAAACTACCTAAATCATTCACTAATGTGTTTTAAATCTTCTGTGAGTTTTATATAAAAAATATTTATTGCTTATTCGGAAAAGCTACAAAAAAAGACCTACTTTTGAACCTTCTTCCACTAATGCACGAACCACTCCCTCACCAATACCGGCCGCTCCTCCGGTGACTAGAAACACTTTGCCCTGCACTTGATGCATTTTCACTCTCAGTACGTTCTACACTGCTATCTATTTGGCCTCCAAACTGATAATGAATAATATAGAACAAAAAGTGCTTAGGTTGTTTTATTGCTAGAGATAGTGTCTGTTATTATTTAAATATATCTAACAAATGTAAGCAGATTCAAAACGAGTAGAACAGTTGTTCTAGAACCAAGTGATAATAAGAGAGATTTGCGCACTCAGAAGGGAAAACCTATATAATGATGGTTTTTTCATTGTCATTCTACCTGCAAATGTTGGCTTGGAACGCTTTCACGCCATAAACTTAACCAATTTGATGAATTCTGGTAAACAGGGGGAGGGGGGTGACTTTAAAGAACGCTTCAATGTTTCATGCGAGCCAACATCAACATACCTTTTATGCATTTTTTGAATGGGGGCAGGGGGTTTTTAAGAAGAAGACTTTGACGAGTATACAAAAATATGAACATGACGTTAAGATACTAAAAATAAAGACTTTTAATCGCTTGACCAATATACGGTTTTGACGAGTGTGCCGTAGGGTTACTATGTATGGCTGATTTAAAGATAACATTTTAAAGGTCTTGTACGCACTGCGTATACCTTTAAGATTCGACCCGAAAGCAAAAAGTGCCTATTGGACAATACAATTTTAAAAAAAATATGTTCAATGTGCCAATTGGAACTAGTATTTTGGTACCCAATGGACCTCCAAAATTATACCCTACTACAACTGTAGGTACCCACTGGTTCTTATTTGTATGCCCTATTTGACCTCCCTAAAAGATTAAAAAGAAAGTGCCCTTTGGATCTCTTTTATGGGAATCATTGGTCCTTATTTGATAGTTTTATTAAGAAAAGTACAGTCATATAGAAAATTGGAGACTAAAATTCTAATAAAATTAATAGTTAGTAAGAAAGCCACTGAATAAATACTATTCCAAATATTTATCGACAAAAGCAGATTTTCTTTTTTCTTCGAATTAAAGATATTTGTACTGCTCTCGCCTTATGTAGTGAACTTTGAGTGCACTAAATTTGAGTGCACTAAATTTAGAGTACTCAGCGCTGGCGCATGCACGTTTTCAACAAAAGTAAATAGCGAAAGCGCTCGTTCGGAGCGGTCTTTAGTACTTCCAGTAAGTGATGCTACTTGACTAATCATAATTATATGAAAACTAGCTTTTTGTGGCCACGCTACGCGTGGAACTTGCTACAACCGACTGTATAAAAATACATCTAACTTTTTATTTTCTTATCATTAATCGTTTGAACGGTACAGTGTCGTGTCCTAATGGAAAGTATTTTCAAAAATAATATGAAACCTGCCGGAAATAATATTATATCGTCTCAAGCACGTACATATTGCAATAAATAATGTGCTTAAGTTACATTCTTCATGATATGTTTTTATTTTGAAGATTAGAAAGTTGCATATAATTAAAAATGCAATCATTAGAAAATAGATAAAGCAGATAGACTTTCTACAATATTCACTTAAACTAAAATGGAACTGGGCAGGTCACGTAGTAAGATCGGTGGGGACGATAGACCAAAAGTATTACTTTATGGGAGGGACTAAAAGGGAAAAGAAACCGTGGTAAACCCCACAGGTGATGGCTCGAGATGATGGGTGAAGCAGAAGAGCAGTGGTACTTAAAAGCACTAGATAGAAAGTAGTGGACAAGAATGGAGGAGGCCTTTATCCTACCAAGGGTTTCTTAGTAAGTAAATCTAATAATTATAATAATAAGTTACAGTATAATCTATTTATATTCAATTAAATAAATAATAATTAATTTACCTACTAATCGACTTTTGCCAATTTGTTATTATAGAAAATACATGTGAATTGAATTGATAATATAAAATACTTTTTACGACGACTACACGCACGCACACACGCACACACACACAATACATGAACAGACGCACACACACACTCAGAGGCACACACACACAGCATAACACATACTCACAAGTGAATATTTAGAGGTACCATTATCCACCTGATCCAGAGTCAGAGAGGCTGGTTATCTGCCATACAGGTTCTCCTAGTGCAGAAGTCAGTCTCTTACATACAGTTATAAGTTAGGTACCTAAATTGTGAATTTGCTTATACCTTACTTAATTCGATTTGAGAAAACAAATAACGTATTTTTCTATCTAACTAACAAATTAGGTATGTACATGTGCGAGTGCGTAGCGCTGTAGCCAAGTTGTAGAATGAGAGAGAGCGTTTATCAGGGGCTTTTCACTTCGAACTACAATTATTTGTATGGACATCACAGAACGAATTTTAGATATGTAATATTTCACTAGATGGCGTTATTCAGATCTTTTTTACGTATTATTAGGTATTCCTCCAACTTCATATATTTTTAAACAGTAACTCAAAATTATACCTGTGGCTGTCAGTGACTGTAACAAAAATCAAGAAAGAAGAAATACAGCTTATCAGCATATATTATTTACAACAGATTTTATTTTGCAATAATAAACTAAAGAATTGGCTGTATGGGCACAGTACCCTTTGCCTACCCAGAATGGGTAAAGAAAAACAACTGTAATAAAAAAAACTGTCCTGTTTACGCTTCGTGAATTTAATGTTTTCTTGTGATTTTTGGTGGTTTTTCCGACGATTTCAGCTATTTTTCCGGACTCCGATTCTCCTGCTTTTACGTTTTGACCCTTGCTCTTCATATCGGTTATTGATTGGCTTCACTATTTGGATTTCGTTGTTCTCGAAAATGGCATCTTAGAGAAGATGTTGTGTGCCTAATTGCAACGTAACATGTACGTATTACCAATCAGTTACATATAATTGAACCTCTAAAAACAATCCTTTCTTGATTTAATTATTTGACCATATGTTTCAGGCGCAGATAAAATACCAATGCGTCCTAACCCTGACATTCACCCCGATCGATTCCGAACTTGGCTTCCGCTCTCGGAGGAGAGATATTAGCTATGGACAATAATTATCTTTTCAAGCAAGAAATAGTTTGTCAAAAACATTTTGAGACCAAGTTTCTTACTTGGACTAGAACACTTTCTCCACATGCTGTCCCAACTTTACATTTGCCAGGTAAATTGCTGATTTCAAAGTCTTTTTTAAAACATCGAGTAAAGAGTGTATGTAATGGTCTCTTAATAAAAATCATTGAGTTGAATGTGATTTTTATATAAATTGCTAAATATTTTTTTTATTATCAGGATTTGGTGCACCAAGGAGTGTTTTAACGGATATCACCAACAGAATGAATATTGACCAAGAAATTGAACGTTCTCAACTTTCAATGCCTTCTACATCCACTAGTAAATATTTATTTATTTATTTACAAATCATTTTTTATATTACTGACATTCTGGTAGATTGGAATGTGCACTGGTTGTCAATACCTACTGTAAAGTTCTGGGTTCGAATCCTGGTAGGGGCAAAATTCTTTTTGAATGTTTGAATGGAAGCATCAAATTTCAGATATACAAATCAGTAAAACCTTTCCCTTATTCTCTTTTGTTTTAATATAAATTTTTTTTGCAGGTTGTGTTTTGACTGAAAAGTTATAATTACAACAAAACGCTGTAAAGAAATCGAAGATACTAAGTAAAAGTAAGCTTACCGGTAATTTTTATTTTTATATAAGTATTTTTGTCTATTATAATTATTTGATAACTTTATTAACTTAACTTTAAAAAAAAATCAGAAATATGTTATCTATATTTTAGAGAGCACCTATCCTAACTATCTTTATTCTTTTGTTAGCTTTTTTCTTAAACTAATGTCTACTTATTAACTAAAACATGACTAAAGCCCATACAGGTATCTATGGGCTTTAGTCATGTTTTAGTTAATAAGTAGACATTACATAATGAAATGAACCTTCCACTTAGTTTTCTTATACTAATAAAGTAGTTAAAAAAAATTAAGACTTTTCACCTCACAATGAAACTAATTTTATTAAAATGCTTTTTTTCAGCATCTGCAATGGATCAAAGTGTAACTAACTTAAAAAAAGTGGTGAAGAAGCTAACTGAAAAGAATCTCAAATACACAACACGGCTAAAGAAAGCAATGAAACTTTTATGATAGATCCGACTTGTAGATTTTTTATATATAACTGGTGTGGTGAGGTAAATAAATTATTAAACGGCACCATAAAGCTGCGTAATTGTACAAATTTTAAAGATGATATTAAAAGAATGTCATGCAAATATTTAATAATATAAATAAAAATAATTGATTTATAAAACTTCTTTATTTATTCTAACAGACTATGTTAAAGCTACATTTTTAGACAATTATCAAAAAAAACTGTGTAAACGAATAGTAGGTAAATTATCTAATAATGTAGCTTTAACACAGTATGTTTTTTTCCTTTTTTCATATTAATAATCGCATCTAAAGCTGCCGGTACCGGTTCAGTAGTACATGACTTGTGATTATGTCATGAATCGGTAGATGGCGCTGTATGCTCAGGTTAACTGATATCTCTATTACTAGTATATAATGTACTCTATGGCGTTTATCGGCAGCTGTCTGCATTCTTACTTGCTGCGTTACTATTGGCTCAGGCGAGGTCACGTGACTTACAATAGCCATGATGTATTCAGTCGGAATTTCGGAGTAAAATTTTTTTTTGTGTATTTCTAGTAAGCATATAAAAAAACAAGTAAAATCGCTGTGATACGTATATTAAATTTTATGCATCTGTAAGATGACGGCTCAATATGTTATATGCTTCGTTCACTGAGGAAGTGATATCCTTAGCAGGTTTGTCAGCATCTATCAACCAAGTGGAAGCACTTTCGCCTTTCTTAAACACTTCCAACATCCCACAGACTGCGGACTCGAGTCTGAAAGGAGCCATGAATTACATATGTAAACTAGCTGACCCAGCGAACTTCGTACCGCCATAAAAAAATTTAATTAAAAAAACATTGTCCAGCGGACAAAATTGTGAATCTAAACCATTCTCAGATCCCCTTGAACACACACACAAAAAATTTCATCAAAATCGGTCCAATCGTTTAAGAGAAGTTCAGTGACACACACTCACAGAAGAATTATATATATGTCGGAGGATGTGATGAATAGGGTTGATTGTTGAATGCCAAGCGTGAAAAGGCTATTGCTTACACTTTAAATAATTTTATAAAATCTTAATTTAATTTGATTTCAATTAATTAGAATTTTTGTATTGTTCAGTAACTTAGCAATAGGCTAGTTGACCCTTTTTGGAAAAAGGTTTTAAATGGTTAATAAATGTTCTATTATACCGAAAAAAAATCTATTGTATTTTTTTTAAACCTGGAAAGCTACAAATCTTTAATTTTAAAATAGACTTTTCATGGACATACAAAAACGCTGTCGGCCATTTTAGTCTATAGATTATCTATGCTATGACGTGAACTGTGGTAAACAAAAACTCGTAAACACGTAGAAAATTACTTAAAACTGAGTTTATAATGAAAAAAAAACATGATTTCTAATAAATACTACGAAAAATAAAGTAATTATCATTACTGTATTGTACGATAATATAAAAACACATCCTTGAAGACTCCAGGAAAGTTGTGGATTAAAGTGCCGAAAGAAATTAACCTACGCAACTTTATTACACTTTTTCATATGTTGTATCAGTTTTATGTTTATTACTACATTGTAATACTAAATTCACTGTACTTACATAGATGCCTTGTCGTTTCTCTGCTCCGCAGAGCAAAAATCGGGGTTAAGTGCAACGAATTCACTAACCATCAATGCGTCAATTCTTGGCAGATTTGTGCTTTCTGCTTTCACAAAGCCGGCAACCATAATTAGTTTTGTCAAAAAAAACTAAGTTTACTGTTTTTTTCTTTCCTAAAGTTAAAAGAGTTTTAAGATAAATTTAGTCAGACGAAAGAATCCACCTACAGTAACACGCGAATGACATTTAGTTGTTTACCACAAGAGACGTCAAAATCATGGCGGATGTGGCGAACAGCGTTTTTAGTGTTTAAAAAATATAGAATAAAAAATATTTTTTAAAATTAAATTTCTACAGCAATCTTCTGCTTTTATGAAGTGAAATCGATATATTTAGGTTCCTTAGACCAAATACTTTAAGAAATAAACATTTATTTAATACAATTCGACATGAGTCAACTAGCCTATTGAATAAAAGTCGCTAATAAATCATTTTATATCGCGTCCAATCAGAGCAGAGCACGTGCCTCGAGTGGGGTCGAGGCGCCATATTGATTTTCACAAGTGGGAGGTAGTTTTTGCGCATATTTAAAGGCGAGGAACAGATCGTAGCGGTTCATTACTAGAAAGGTGATACGGTAGTTCAGTGAAGTCAGATTGGTACCTTGAACCCACTGCTCGGTTGTTACGTTATTTAAGTGTCCTTAGTGTAAAGTGTATGTGAAACATTTTTATTTTGTTTTGACGTGACAACGTCTTAAATTAGGTTGCGGCTGGGAGTCACTTATGAAAAAGTGTAACGCTCGGTAACGTTACGATGAGTTTAAGTTTACATGTACAATGTTTTAGTAAACAAAATATATTTCTATAGTTAAAATTTGTGCAATTCTTATTTTCATTCAATTCCTTGTTCCTATTGTGCAATTTAATTATATTCATATCAATAAATATTCTACCGAGAAAAAGACGTTGTCACGTAAAATCTTCGCCCGTAAAACCGACTTTACAGGCAACCATTTTTTTGTTAAAAGAACGTAATTAAAACTATACGAACAGTGATTGAGTGATTGTTTGGTTTTGTGCCTGTATCAAGCCCCAATGACGCCCACTAAGCCCGTGAACGCTAATGACAAAGTGAATAGTCGCTCTCCGACATATATAAAGATATTACTAACAAGTATTTGCAACATATTTGCTCAAAAAATGCATTTACGGAGGTTATATACATTGTTCGAAAGTTCAAAATTGCGGGTCATACAACGGAGCGTGAGGTAAAACGTTTTACCACACGCACGCACGCACGTTGTTCTAATTTTCACCACCCGCAGCGCAGGTAGAGCCATTTGGATATACGCGCGCCATTTTCTGGTTGTTCTGGTTGAACGTTATATGACATTCGTGCGGAATTGGTATTTAAAAACTCGTGACTATGGTAAGGTGCGCGCGGTAAAATGTTTTACCTCACGCTCCATTCTATGCCCCGTACTTTTGAACTTTCAAACAATGTATACAACTTTCCTAAATGCATTTGCAATTCCTAAATGAGCAAATGAGTTGAAAATGTAATTTATGAACTATAGGTAGATCGCTTAATTGAGTTCTCGCCTGCGAGATAAAGGGTGTGGGGGAGGACGAGAACGGGGACCGTGAGAGGTGCGGGCGGCGGGCACTTGTAATTTTGACAAGAATGTACCTGCCGTGTCGAATTGCTTCTAGTATTTCTTAGGCTGCAAGGCAGCGCCACCTCCTCCCATTGTAGGTAGCCCACAATGTCAAACGAAATACCTTTACAAGTATTAAAAACATTTGAATAAAGAAATACCAATTGTAGTACATTAAATTTCTATTTTTTTAGGTCTTGTAGCGTAACAAATACTAGAAATGCGCCACAGCCATTAAGGTCGCGGTAGCATAATTGGTCAGTGTATCCGCCCGGGTAGCGTATGGTGTGGATTCGATTCCCGTCAGCTGCCTGCAATTTTTTATAGTAAAATTTTCTTTAGATTTTCATACATCTAGCAGTTAAATGCATTATTTAATTCTTACTTCTGCGTGTAAGCTCCCTTGAGGTGTTCCGTCAAAAGCTTCAACTGATCAGGTTCGAACACTCCAAATTTGTTACTGTGCAAAATTGTCGTGTCCGTACATCCGAAGCACACAGTCAGTACTCGAACTCCAGTTCTAGAGTATGTCGGTTCCATCTGCATAACACAAGCATTTGCTATCAATCTTTGGCAAGGGAACCCCTTGTTTTTTGTCCGGACTGTATAACGCATGAACCGTACGGCGGGTCGCACACCAGACATACAATTGTATTACGATAATTGTGGCGCCACATTTCATGCCTACATATTGCGTGCTTACACGCAGATATATATAGGAGGATGTAATTAATAGCGAGACGAAAGAAAAAATGTAGCGTGCATATTGTGGCAAGGTAAATATTCCCTGTATGTACCATGTGACTCCGGTGTATTGTGCCATACGAATAGGTAAAAGACACATTTACAGAATGTGTAGCTACATATTTTATGTTGCTGCTAAAACAACAGATAATAAAAATGAATGATACGCCAAAACAGGTGTTTTGTATGTAAGTACGATTCAATTCTACGAATCCCTAAGTGTGAAAAAATCCCTACATGGAAGAACCGCAATTAGCTCGAGGCTTGATAATGATGCTCCCAAGGATCAGCTTGTTTGACAAAATTCGTAATATTTTTGTTCAATCAAATCAACAGTTAAAGGGGTAGATTGTGGCAAAGACGGAATTTTGAAAATTACAAAACTAAAAAAAAAATAACGAAAAACACGCCTTCTCCGGGATTTCTCATTGTATGATAATTTTCTAGTAACATTTATCACGTTCGCTTCTACTAAGAGAGAAACAGCTGCTACACATCATAGGTAAAAATATGTTATAAAATTTTGATTAGTCAATAGGCGCTTAACTTACTCCAAGAGAATTACCGAAGTGTAAAACAGCGCTCTTACTCGCACTGTAGATCGGAACGAATGGGAGCCTCGCCAACGCTGCCATAGACGATATGTTGATGATAGTACCTCCTTTGCCAGCACGGTCTTTGCGCATCAGCTCATAAGCTATCAAAGAACTGGTTATAAGGGCCGTCTGAAAAGATGTATGATTTATTAAACGAACAGTTAGTAAACTTAACTATCTGTGCGTGCTCCATTCTCGTTTTCGTTTGACGACCTCCGTGGCCGAGTGGTTTGTACGCCGGGTTTCATGGTGTCACCGAATGGAGAGGTTTCAAATCCCGGTGGGGGCAGATGTTTGTGTGATGAATACGAGCATTTGTACTCCAGTCATGGATGTTTAATATGTATATGTATTATATCCGTTACCCTAGCATCCCATAACATCCCATAAAATTACAATAGTGTCACAACTTAAGCGCGTAAATGGTACATAACTGCCACATCGACCAAAAGTCACATAGCGGCGGCTTTGGATCTGTATCCAATTGCAGAACCAAAATCGACCATAAACACAATACAAATGTACAAAATATATATATTTGCTCCCTAATCAACATACAGAGTACCATATATATAACATTACACATAAAAAAAAGTATCCCATAACACAAGCCTTACAGTGCTTACTTTGGGGCTAGTATATATTATATTTATAATATGATATGTAACAGAAAAAAGCGTGGGGCCGTTCATTATGAAATTTTAACTGAATTGTTGAACATTATGCAATACGTAATATATTATTGATTTGATAAATATAACAATGAAAATTGACCCACGCTTTTTCAGTTTTATATATATATATATATCCTAAAATCAACTATAAACATGGCTTACTCTAAAGCCCTAATAAAGTAAACAGAGAGTATATTTTGTTTATTTTTGACTTTTTAGTGCAGTAAGTAAAAGCATGTTTTTAGTTTTTTAAACCATTTTTTTTTCGATTTTTACTACAGTGTGTTGGTCGTTCACTTTGAGGTGCATCCAGATTTTTAACCATTTTATATGACTTTTGTTACATAAAACGTAAGAAGTTCTGGCGACCTTCTTTCTACCTTATCGTAAAATGAAACTACACTTTTTATCAACAATATTTTAACTGCTTTGTTGTGTAAATATCACGTTCACGATGACATAAAAACTTATACTACCAACACGTATTTTATATATTACTCCATAATTATTTTGATTAGTTTAATAGGTAGATTATTTTGGTATATGAATCGTAATTATTACCCACAGGTTAATCCATCTGTTTATTAATCGTAGTGACCCGTAGCTAGAGATCAATCTAATATATTCAGGTCTCCTATTACTTGTACAAGTGCAATATCTAAACTGCCGCAATGAAAGACGTTACTCGAATTCGGGCACCCGAAGCAATATTTACACTGTAAGTGTCGCCGCACACGGGCCACCGACCACAACCACAAAACGCCACCACCAGAATATTTCTTGTAGTTTTCATACATTTTATATGGTCTCGCCACACACGGTACGCCGGTGGCCGCCACACGCTACAAATCGTCGTTGCTCGTTTCTTGTGGCCCGCAAACATACAAAACGTTGCCACACGTCACTCGCGCGATGTTCCACCCCTCTCTCTCTTACCTTAGTCGGCCGCTGTCGCGCGCTTCAGTATCTTTAGTAGCCGCTTCTAGCTTTGTGCGTTACGTTTGTGGCTGTGGCGTATGGCCCGTGTGCGGCGACACTAATACGGGCTGGAAGACGGTGTCGGGTAAACAAAAGGAAATCTACCCGAATGCAGGCGAACTCGACTCCGTTCATTTACATGTAGTCGTTTACCCGAATTCCATTGAAACTCGTATTGGGGAATATCGATTAACGACCAAGTGAAATCACGCCAAACGTCTAAATCAATACCATCAAAAGACTAATCTTGGCAGCCAATCATGCTAATTTCTTAATGCATATCTTTATGCTTGCAAGGGAACCAAAGCCTAAGAAACTTCTTGTTGACCTAGAATTATGAAAAGCATAAAATAATGCTTTAAACGTGAATGTACCACAAGTAGAAACTACATCCCTGTGATGAACGAACTATTTATACTTACAAGTTTGAACGGAAACCTCCCTGGGTGCGTGATTCGTTCTTGATTGGACAATAATTGACTCGGCAGATGAATTTAATACGAAAATGGAAAAATCTGATCTAGGTAGATATAATGTACTTACCACATTTACGGCAATAGCCTTAGCGTACACATTTGGGCTATCGTTAAAAATGCCAGCACAGTTAATAACGCCGTCTATGTATCCAAAATTATGTACCACATTATCAAATGCTGCATTCAAATCGTCTGTAGTGACGTCACACTTGTAGAATTTCACTATTCCCTTTCCGTGGTTTGTAACCAAGTCTGATTCCAGCGATTTTCCACCTTTCTCATCTACGTCTAAGATAGCGATGTGCTGAAATCACCAAACCCCAATTTTGAATGTCTGAACTAGGAAAGGAATCTGTATAAATATTATATAATTACTCAAAAGGTGATCAAAAGGCTGGCAGCTACCTTGGTCAACGGTTTAGCCTTGCTATCCAACGTGGAAATGCTTCCAACCTATTGGGCACTATTCCTGACATCGGCGCCGGGGGTGATATGTTTGGTAGGTTGTATATTACTTAATTAGTTAATTCTTTTTAAGATTTTAGACAATAATTAGTTTTAAGCTTTAATAATTTAAATATTATTATACAAATATAATAAATAAAAAATATTGCTGAAATAAAAAATCATAATTTGAGATAAAAACAATTATTTTATACTTGTTATAAATTAAGAACAGTATTCAAACCGAAGACCAATCTAGAACTATGATTACGACTACGACTGCCTCAATTAGCAGGTTATTTATTAAATATGCCAGGTTCTAATCCCGGTGGGGGCAGATGTTTATGTGATGAAAACGAGTAATTGTACTCCAGTCGTGGATGTTTAAATTGTATTACTATATCCTCCTGAGACCCCCGGTATCACCAGTGATACCTTTACTTTGATTTTTTTTTAACGCCGACTTTCGAAATACTCAATTAGATCAAAGTTTAACAGTGAGTGTAGGGTTTTGTTTATTGTTTCCAATACCGGTCATTCGCTAGGTGTTAAAATTAAAATTATTTGCGGTCAGTGCAAGATTGAAAATTGTGCATGAATCGACATGGCGAAATCACTTAAAGTTAAATATTAGTTTTTATTCAAATCTTTGTGTTTTTTTGTTTAAATATTGTAAAATATATTGTAAATTTACCATTAGTGAAAATATTTTGTAGAAAAGTGTAATTATTTTGTATAAATTTTGAGTTTTACTGCAAGTATCATAGGTGATACCTTGGGCAATCAGTACTATTTTTGGAATATTTTTATAGATCTGCTGTCTGATTGAGAAATAAAGCAGATGATCAATTTCTACGAGTCAGATATAGAAAAAGAAGACAGTGATTAAGAAATAGACCTTGAAGAATGGCGAGAGATATCCAACCAGGAAATTTCACTCGCAAATGAAGAGGAATGGAATGAATGATTCGGAAGACGAACCTCTTTCATTTTTACGCACACTTCCTCAATCCTTTAGGAACCTGAGTTTAAGATGGAAACACACGGAAAACTTTGATTTTATTCCATACGAGGAATTGGACATGTCATTCCAAGAGTTCATATCATTGTCAAGAGTTCTCTAGATTACTTTTCTCGTTACATAGAATAACCGTTTGTTTGAAATTATGGCCAATTGTACAAATGTTTGTAGTGTATCAAGAACGGGCAAAGCTCTGAATACAACGCCTGAGGAACGTAGACAGTTCTTCGGATGTTCAATGTCCATGAGTATGCTTGGTTTGCCATGAATAAGAATGTATTGGGCCTAAGAAATCAAATTCTACTACATAGCTAACACAAATACTCGTAATCGATATTTTCAACTAAGATCGAATTTAAAGCTTGTAAATGATGGATTAGTTTTACAATATACCAGACAAAACGACAAGTATTGGAAAAAACGTCCTATTGTATCTGTAATAGAAAAGGGTTGGCGTGAAAATAAATGAGATACTTGTGTTGCCATTGATGAGCAAAGAATCCCCTTCACAGGTTAATGTAAACAAAAACAGAACTCAGAAGGCATAAAAGTGTTTCTCATGGCATATTCCAATGATATACCACTTGATTTATACTTATATCAGGACAAGGGTACAACTATAGAATCGGCACTGTATCCAACACCTGAAAAACTTGATCTTGGAGGACGTATTGCGCTCAAACTTGTGGATACTTTACCTCCAGGTTCTTCAATTTTTATAGATCTTTACTTAACATCTATTTCACTTTTTGCAATCTATTGGAAAGAAATATAAAGGCAACAGGAACATAAATGAAAAACCGAGTGCCTGAATATCAACAGCCCAATACAAAGAAAAAAATAAGCGAGTAATGTTCAAGTCTGATGCTATGTTACAAAAAGCTGGAAGAGGCAATTTCGATTGCGTTGTAAGAGGTTACAGTAAGATAGCTGTAGTAAAGTGATTAGACAATAAACCAATTTTTGTTATATTAACTGATGCAGCTCATTTAGAATCTCTCTGTCGTTTTTCAATGTGAATTCAAATTAAAAATTATAAGAGGAACAATCTTGTTTTAAGCTGATGCAATCCCAAGGTATCAATCGTGATACCATCCCTTACGTTAATTAGGGAGGGGGTGGATTTCTTTTTCTTGTATTGTAATAACAACCAGCGACACCTTGCTTTAAAAAGTAGCAATTGTAAAATGTGGGTTGAATACTTCAGTCTTGGGTCTCAGGAGGATATAAATATACATATCAGTATATGTATTCTATCCGTTACCTTAGTACCTATCCCATAACACAAGCCTACAGTGCTTACTTTGTGGCTAGGCTAATTGGTGTGAGTGTTGGAAATATACATATTTATAAGTAATAAAAGCTGCCAGCAGCTGTGGGTGACTTATTTTTCATTTTGTAAATTTGATACCTAATAATTATAAGTAGGTCAAGGTTATTTAAAATAAGGTATTCATTAGGTAGTTTTTAAGTTGTTGTTATTTTATTTCTATAATATTCTAATACTGTAAATAAAACAAGTACATATATATCAAACTCGATAAAAAAAATATATAATAATGTAAATACCTATTTTGCGCAAAATTGTTCATAGCATTGCGTTAAAGAGAATTTCCAGCGCATAATGCAAGCATGGCTATTTGTATATGCTATTTGAAAACTTGACAGGAGTCTCGCCTTTTTATTTTATAAACTATAGAGCAGGGATGGGCAAACTACGGCCTGCGGGCCATCTTCGGCCCTCCAAAAGTTGAAATCCGGGCCGCGTCCATCAAAGGAGCACCAATTTGCTGCCGAATACTTATATTATGCCTAATATTATATTTACTTCACAGCAAACTTAAGGGTATTTGACCAGCTGCGCGGGGCATTCTTTACAGGGCTATATTTTGATTTATATTCTAAACTAGTGGCCCGCCCTCGCTTCGCTTCGGGGTAGAATTGATCAAAATCCTTTCTTAGCGGATGCCTACGTCATAACATCCACCTGCATGCCAAATTTCAGCCCGATCCGTCCAGTGGTTTGGGCTGTGCGTTGATAGATCACTATGTCAGTCAGTCAGTCACCTTTGAGTTTTATATATATATAGATTATTGGGGGGGCTATATTCGCACGATAAGGAAAAATGTTCACATCACTGGAGCATTTATAAGTTAATCATAGGCACGCAGCACAATGCAAGATGCGTCGTACAAGTCACGCTGTACGTAGATCCAAAATGTCTTCATTGAAATTCACCAATATCAGTGGTTGAGATCAGATATAAAAGAGTAACAGGCAGAAGATATAAAGTAACTTTTGCATGTATTTAAAAATATACATTTATGTTTTTAAGTCCAATTAGCGTTTTGCATGACATTAATTTTATTACCCATTATTTTTTTCTTCTTCTGTGGGTTTATATAAAATCTATTTATCGCTTCCCCAGATAACTTATTAAATACCTACTTTTGAACCTTCTTCCACTAAGGCACGAACCACTCCTTCACCAATACCGGCCGCTCCTCCAGTGATTAAAAACACTTTGCCCTTCACTTGATTCATTTTCACGATTTTCTCTCTTAGTACAAAGTTCTACACTGCAGCATATTTGGTCTCTAAACTAATAATGAATAAAATGTATGGAACAAACAGTGTTTTATTGCTACAGATAATGTTTGTTTTATATTTTTAAGCATTTAACCGCTAGATTTTTACATTGTTTAATTTGCGGAGTGGGAACGAGTGAACGTGAGTCAGCGCAAACGCAGCCGCGCTATTTTACCTGCATTTAAAATATTTTTCTCTGTATATTTCAAGGACAAAAAATTATGACTTATACAGTATTTTTTTATATATAAATGCGTGCATATACAAATAATTCTCATATTTCATTGTAACTGCGTCGAGCTTATCGGTCTATTCTTCCAAGTCAAAGAAAACTTCGTCATCCTCTGACACATTAGGCCGTCCCACTTCTCTTGTCATTGTAGCCCTACGTGGTGATGGCAAGCTTCTCGTCTGCTTCTCCTTCACTGACGGTTGGCCTTTTGGATACCAACTTTTTTTCTATCAAATAGTATATTCGAAGCTGTTACCTCTAAAAATATAGTAGATGGCAAAAAATGGAAAAAAGTATAGTATGTGGTTAAAATATTTATTTCATTTTTGAAATGAATATATTTTTACTGCTTTTTACTGCGTTAATAATTAAGTTCTTATCTTTAAGAAAGCTTATACTGGCAAAATTCTGCTTTAAGCAAAATATAGTAGTTTCGCCTTCTATATTTTTTTTAGAAATATAGTATTTGGTCGCCTTATATAGTAGGATACTATGTATATTATATAGTAGGGTTCGCAACTCTATAGGGCTATGCGTCGATGACAGAATTTCTTTTTATCGAGTTGTTGTAGTATGTCTTCATAGAGCACCTCCGCCTGCAGTTCTTTAGGCAGCGCAAGGTCCGTTACGAGCTTATAGGAGCCTTCGCTGATAAGGAGTATCGCCCGACGTATCACTCCCATTGGGTCTTTTTCAGCAGTTACTTCATTTACAACAAAGCAGTGCGACAACCTGCATTTGTACATTTTCCATGTATATATGTCGAAATTGGACAAACTAGCAAAAGTAGAAAACAATTATTTTTGTTTCTTAGGTTTTCACGCACATCACTCATTAAATAAAACTAGTTTTTACGGGTTATTACACGAAACTTTATTTATTTATTGACGTTTATTATTTTTTCCTAAATGTGGGTAAACGTCGCCACTGTTTAATCTGCGGTGTGGGAACGAGTGAAACACAAGACGGTTAACAACGCCACTGCCGTTTAATAATGTATTGATCAGCGCAGACGCAGCAGCGTGCATTATCAAATTTTTCATAAGATGAATGTAAATGCTATGTTAACCTATAATTTAGATGCATATAGAATAAAAAAATCTATTTCAGTGAACTATTGTAATGTACGTTCAGCCAATAGAGTAGTACATACATTTTTGAAAAGTGTCTCAATTAAATTCTAAAGAACTACGAGTAATATCCTACAAAATTATATATACTTTTTATTTAATCCTTAGAAAAGAAGCTATATATTTAAATGTGGCGACAATCTTTTATATAGGATGATAAAAATAATAAAATGAAATTTCCTTAAAAACTTGTATTATTAACTTATAACGGCATTACACAATTTATCTAATACAGGGTGTTCCAAAAATACAAATAAATCTTGAAGGGCGTTGAAGTACATCATATAAGGAATATTCTATAATTTTCTTTATTTTTCGAGTTATTTGGCTTTTGTTACCAACGATATTAAATACCCTAGATACACCACGAGCGCTCAAAATGTGTCCCAATCAAGAAGTATTTGAACTCCACTCAAACACTTCTTGGCTCACAGTCACGCTCGTACCGTTACAAAGTAAAGATGCCACAGAGCTCCGCGAAAAAATGCGAAAATAAAACTTAGAGTACGAAAAGTGACGTTTTTTCGACAGGTATCTAGTCAATGTTTGTTAATTTAACGCATTTGAAGTAAATATTGATATAATATTTACTATAAACTGATTTAATATAAAATATTGGTGATATTCAAATACATGGTCTGTTATACATCGCCATATAGCCGTCTCTTTTCCTCGCGGTCCGTGCCTGCTATATTGCTAACAGCGCGTTCAGAATTGCGCATAGAGTCAAAGAAATCTAAATTCTTCCGCATATAGCAATAAGTCAAAAAATTTTACGAGCTTGCATTTCGAACTGTCAGAAGTCCTTGACGCATTTTCTTGAAGAAGAAATAGCAATTATTAAATTTTTTTTAAAAAAAGTTTACGAGTAAACTTTTTTTTAGATCATCTAGCAGTTAAATGCTTAAAAATAAATAAAAACATGTTTAATACTTGAAAAAGTATTTATTTGACATTGTGGGTTACCTACAATGCGAAGAGATGGCGCTGCCTTGAAGCTTAAGGCTGGGAAAATTTCGACGCGGCTAATAATTCGAGTTCCTCTGTGCTAACTAATAGCTAATAACTCTGATGGGTTCGTTGAAAAAAATATAAGTAAATAAATTAACAACACCGTTATTATTTTTTTATTGTCTACATTTAATAAATAAGCTAAGGCACGTTAGTCCGTTGGTCCCGGCTACATTTGCAGTCGTTAGCACCCGCCAATCCCGCACTGGGCCCGCGTGGTGGGTCATGGCCCAATCTCCCTATTCCATCCACAGGGAAGGCCTGTGCCCCAGCAGTGGGGACATTAATACATTAATAGGTTGATGATGATGATGAATTACAGACCAATGAATGTTCGACTAACTCACAGCAGTGAGAAGAAGTTAGTATTGTGACCTAAATTAAGCGCGAACCGAGCGAGCAAAGCAAGCGCGCCGCTGGCGTTGCAGCGGCCAGCAAAGCGCCAGCCACTGAAAGATAAATAGTTATTATATTTAAAACAAGGAAAAGTCGACGCGCTTTCTTCATTTACACACATTGCCGACTGCGCATTCGGCATTGTATAGAATACCTAGGCAAAGTATAAAATAAATAATATTTCTTACATTGCCTTGACGTTTTTGGCATTCTACACATTGCTTTGTATAGAATGCCGAACTATACAGATTGCCGGTAAAATATACAACATTTCAGGTTAATCTAATGGAGATATCTGATTCAAAATTGAGTTACAGGATTCCACCTGAACAAACATACATAGGGTAGACTAATAATAATTAAATTAGAAAATAACTTGTTTAAGAATACTTATCCCTTAATGGTTGCCTTTTCGCAGCATGTGCAAACCGACGACATTCAAACTTTGTTTTTACAAAAAAATACCATTGTAGAACTCAATTTTTTACTGCACATAGATGAATTTCCATCAAGTTATAATAAATAGATATTGTATTATTTTATTCATATTTTTTTTATATTTAGGTATTAATGCAAGGGGGGCGATCATAGTGGGGGGTGCTGGGGGCACAAGTTCACCAATAAGATAAGGTTTTGACGAGTGTGTCGTAAGTCACTACGTAGGGGTGAATTATAAAATTTGAAAGATGGCGGGCTAGAAGTTTACTAGCACTGGATTTAATAACTCTGATAGATCATGGGATGTGGATGGATGGATTCGTTGAAAAGAATATAAGTAAATAAATTAACGACTGCGTTATTATTTTTTTATTATCTACATTTAATAAATAAGCTTGTTTTGAAATTTTTTTTCAGAGAAACTAATGCAACCTGATTGTCCCTTAACCTCCTGAGAACCACAACTTTTATTTTCGCGAATTTAATTTAAAACTTACTGGATCGATTTTATAGGTGACAAGATGTTCTCAAAAAATATAAAAAAAAAGTTTGTTGGAAAATCTAGATTTTCTCTATGTAGTGTATATACAACATCAGTTCTGTATACCTAATGTGTAAAATGCAGTATGTTTACAAAATAAAAAATATTTTATGTAATAATAGTGAGTACGTATTGTTTATGTACATTTGATGCATAAATAATTTAATGCATAGTAAATTTAATTCAAATAATTAAGTATCGAGGCATTTATTTTCTAATTTTAGGCTTAGTAGTTTTTTTTTCAAATCGGAGTTAGCATATTTGTTTTATTATCTTAAAAGTTACGAATTTTCAACATAAATCTCACTAGAAAATAAATAAAGTTTTAACAGAGTTAAAATTAAAAATAATTATACCTACCTATCAAAATCCTATCAAAAGTTTGGCGTGTGAATCTCCATAAAAACAATTTCGTTTTCCAGTCATTCCTATCCTGACTTGATAGATTTTATGATTTGAATCCCGTATATCTGACCAATACTTTAGTATAGCTAGCTAGCTAAATTAATAGACCCCATGAACAGGACAGGAGGCCTATGAATGTTTTTAAAAATTTTAACGTCATTTCCAACTCTTTTCTTTTTTTTTCAAAAGATATGTTCTATTTGCGGCGTCTAGCATCTGTCTGTTATATATTGTTAAAAAAACTCCTGATGAATCCGCATTCAGTTCCATATATCTTGGCTGATAAAAAAAGTCCTAAAGGAGTGAAATTACAAGTCCACATATTATTACCATTCTGCCGATGATGGTAAAAATGTTGCGCTTTGTCGACCACCTCTGATTCTTGCAAGGGTCGATCGACCACCACGCGTACAGGGCCCACTTCTGGTCCTGACATGACTACTGTTGGTAACAGCAATAGAAGACCACAAAAAATGTTCAGATACCGGACGAATTCTATCTTCTGTATCCGAAGCATTTGAAGAACGAGAGTCAAAGTCACTGCTATCATCGTTTCGCGCTGAATGGATCTCTTCTGTTGGATTCACTTTATCCGACAACTCAATATTTGATTCTAAGATGTTTAGAAGAATCACATTGATTTCATTATCCCACAAAACTAATAAAACAATAACAAAGAATGTAATGGAAAGTAAAAATGTTTTATGTTGTATAGTTACTACACTGGACATTCTGTAAACACAGAAGTCGTTGAGAACCAATGTATTACTAGTACAACATAAAGCTTTTACTGTTAATATTTTAGTTTTATATGTGGTGAAATACAATAACGTTGTGTAATTACGATAAATGCATCAAAACAAACAATTAACTAATAAAATCTTTACAAGCAACACAGGTTTTCATAAAAAAATCAAAGAATCATATCACGGGGTACCGGTACCGAAGCCATCGTCGACGTAAAATGAACAATAAAAAAAAATCTAAGCCACTTTCTCAGTCAATCACCGATCATTATGGCTGATATATGTTTTGTCTATGAAATGAAATTAAAAGATCGAGCAAATTTCGTTAGATGGCGGTGCAGGATTTTTTTCTTTCTATGTTGTAAATATACAACAGTTTCACTCAGGAGGTTAATAAGTTATAATAAACAAAACATCTTCGCTAACAATGTGGTAGGCTTTAACCACAGTAATGTAGCATATTTTCGTGGTATTTTCAATTTTATGCATCTGTAAAATGACGGCTCAATATTTTATATGCTTCGTTCACGGAAGAAGTGATATCCTCAGCTGGTTTGTCAGCATCTATCAACCACGTGGAAGCACTTTCGCCTTTCTTGAACACTTCCAACATCCCACGGGCTGCGGAATCGACCCTGAAAGCAGCCATGATATACCTAAATAAACATTACTAATCAAAACTATTTTTAGATTGAAAGATTTGGTGACTAACTTAAACATTGAATCGGTTCGTAGGTAAATTTATCCTGAAAGAAGAAAACAAACAAATATAAAGGTCTAAAGAATGAAAGGAATAGAATATCTTTGAAAACCTTACAGCCTAGCTTGTTCTAGAGATTACATTCTTTACAAAAAATCTCAAAAAAAGATCTCTGTATATTATTTGTTTATATTACTTAAAAGAATACTTGGGGTGTGATCTACAATCGATACTGAAGCCAAAAATATGGTTTTTAGAAATTTTGTTCGTTTGTCTGTATGTATGTCCGTGATAAACTCAAAGAGTACTGCATGGATTTACTTCAAATTTGGCACGAATATTATTAAGATGTCGTGTCAATATATAGGCTGCATATTATCACGCTATCACCTACGGAGAACGAGCAGTGAACCTTTATTTTTAACTAACTCCACACGTACGAAGTTGCAGGCGGCTGCTAGTTGATATTGGGATCTGACAAAATTCGTGAGACACCTGGTGTTCAATTTTGGAACTAATACCGGGGTGCATCGCTCATCAAAACACATAAGTTATCATTAGTGTCATTAGTACTTTTGAGAAATTAAACAAAAAATGACGGAAGAATTAGGAATATTTAACCCTCGCAAGATTTCTAAAAAAAGAATAAAGTGTTGTGTGTATGGATGTGGAAGCAGTTTTCAAAAAAACCGTGAATTAACGTTTCATAAGTTTCCTAAAAAAAATGCGCGTTGTGTTTACATCAAAAATTATTTTGGTCAAATGGAAAAAGTGGACCAATTCACAGCATGGAAGAACGCTTTGAAGATTGACTGTAAAATAAATCCTCACATGAAAGTGTGTTCATTGCATTTTCTGAAAGACGACTATATATTACCAGGTGAGTCAAATTCGTTTTTTGAGGTTAAGCATGTGTGAAGTAGCATTTTACAAGATCTCATTATTATTCCACTAAGAAAAGAATGGGACGGCAACAACATTAAAATGAAAGAGTTTCCTTGGTTTAGTTACCACAATTCAATAAATGTTTGTGTATACCACAATTCAATAAATGTTTCGCAGCTACCAGTCGTTCACCCTCTCGAAAATTGCGATTACTGGGCGTTGAACCGGACCATTCACAAATATCATTAATTGTTAAGACTATCATTATCTACCACTAATATTGATATTTAACTATTTTACGGTATTTCATCACGGTTTGACTAGGCAAATGCACCCCCGTCGGCGCCATATTGAATAGGCCACGCCTCCATGTCAGATCCCAATATATATGTACACACATTTTGACGTGACAACGTCTTAAATTAGGTTGCGGCTGGGAGTCACTTATGAAAAAGTGTAACGCTCGGTAACGTTACGATGAGTCTCGTAGCATGCTGGAACCCCGTAGCCGTGTAGCAAGTTTGCTACGAATCGTCGTAGCGTGGTTGCATGCTACGATGGTATTCACAAGCACAATGCATTGTAATATGTTTTTTTGACGTATTATATATATTTCTATAGTTAAAATTTGTGCAATTCTTATTTTCATTCAATTCCTTGTTCCTATTGTGCAATTCAATTATATTCATATCAATAAATATTCTACCGAGAAAAAGACGTTGTCACGTAAAATCTTCGCCCGTAAAACCGACTTTACAGGCAACCATTTTTTTTACAATGACATTATTTAGTACTTACTTCTGCATTCTAGCCTCTTTGAGATGTTCCATCAAAAATTTCTTCTGTTCAGGTTCGAACAACCCAAATTTGTTACTGTGCAAAATTGTCGTGTCCGTAAATCCGAAGCACACAGTCAGCACTCGAACTCCAGTTCTAGAGTAAGTCGGTTCCATCTGTTCCAAAACCACGAGTATTTACTATCAATCTTTGACAACAGAACCCTTCGTTGTTTGTCCCGTCGGTCTGTCTGTCAGCTGACTGTGTAACTCACAGAACACAGACAGAGGATTCTGTGTTCTGTGGTGTAACTCATGAAGCGTGACGCGTAGGTAAACAGTGATGTTTTTACAGAATGTGTAGCTACATTTATTACTGTTACTTATAAAACAACAGATAATAAAAATAAACTATAGGATTTTAACAAAGAAGGGGTGTTCTCTTAATAATAATAATAATAACATTTATTTCAGATTATTCATCCATAATGTGTAATGGTTAGTAACAATTATGCTTACAAATCTAGTGTTAGTAAATTGAATTCATAAAATAAAATTAAATAAAACATAAAAAGAAACATATTGACAATAAAATTACGACTAAGGAATCACCGCTGTTGTATGCAGATGGATCCAGCGCATAAGCAGCGGTGAATCCCAGCGTTTGGATAGCGCGCGCACAATACACAATACTGTTTGGGCTGGCGCGCACGCGCGATAGCAACGACCCACATGCGCATTATTGCATAAAAGCAATCAGTACGCGCCTCTGCAAACATTGTGGACGCACTACAAAATCGCGCCAGCCCCAACAATATCCTGAACACGTTATTATATTGCACGCGCAGTGCGTTTTACGCGTGCCGCGTAAAATCAACCCACAGAGCACACGTGTAGAAGTTCTGACAGTAGGCTTTGAACAGCGTCATCTTTACCTGAGTACCGTGTACCGTGCGAATCTACGAGCTAACATATTGCAGCGCACCCTTAACGCGCTGCGCTCCCTCTCAATGTCCGTATCATCTACCATACCATCAGTCAACCAATGGCCCAAGTATTTAAATTTGTTGACTCTTTATAACTCAACACCACAAAGAGTGACACTGGGTATATTGTGATAGGTTTTCGAACCAGCTTTAAACTCCATTAGCTCACTCTTTGTGGCATTATACCTAAGTCCGTGCGTCAACGCATAGGTTTCACATATTAGTAACAACCTTCGCATTGCACCAATCGACGAGCTCAGCAGCACCATGTCATCGGTGTAACTCAGATTGTTAACACAAACCCCGTCAATATAACATCCAATGCCAGTTCCGCTAAGCCCCTCGATTAATTTTGTTCATGTACAAGTTAAAGAGCCAAGGTGAGGTCAACCTCCCCTGCCTCACTCCGCACTCCAACCCATACATATCCGTATGCACCTGCCCATCTAACACTATTACGTTGGTTTTCATACCAACATCTAAACATAGCACACAGTTCAGGTGGTAATTTAGTTTTTCTCTGTAATTTATTCCACAAAATATTGTAGGAAACCAGGTCAAATGCCCTTGACAAGTCCAAGAAACAGGCATAGACTGGCGTCTTTCTTGATGTATAGTATTGTACAGTCTGCTTGAAGCATAGTATCGCAGTTTCAGTTGAACAACCCGATTTAAAACCAAATTGTGTATCATTTATATTCAAATGCTGCCCCAAGTGCCTATCAAGCAAACTGTCCAACACCTTAGCAGTGATGGTCGCCAATGATATCGGCCTGTAGTTAGACAAGTCAGAGGCATCGCCCGTCTTGTTTTTAACGATTGGTACAAGTACAGTATACATAAGTTGGTCTGGTAGATAACAATGACTTATACACAAATTAAAAAGTCGCGGCAGGTATACGCCCGCATGCTTGAGATGCTCAATACTGAGGCTGTCGTGTCCGGGTGACTTTCCACTAACCATGTTTTTTATAACGCTTGCAACATCCCCAGCCGAGAATCTAACATCTCAATCTCTGTGTGCACACCGGCCATACTTACAGGTAGACTCGGCTTTAAGTTAAGTTTATTTGTATTTATCTAAAATTTTGCAAAGTTTTTATGTGAATGATTTTTAGTAATTATGTCCATTGCATGCTAACATTTGATTAGACACTTGCCCCCTTATTGATAAACGAAGAGTAGTCTTGGGTTAGTTACTCCATACTTTATCTCTGTCATTGAATGACAAATAACATTTAGGTAATATGAACAAAACAAGACGTAACTAGTCTAAGCTTAGTCTTTGTTTATTAATAAAGGGGTAGATGCAGACTTTGCTATACACACACTAATGAGTGATCTATTTAAAATAATATTATGATATTCCGCTCCATTAAATGATGTCAAGGAAGCTTTGTGCTAAGCGACTGCATCAACCTAGTATGGACAATTTTCCAGTTGCATTAATCAAGTTTACAATTTACAATAAAAATATATTTTGGGATTATGATTAGTCAATAGGCGCTTAACTTACCCCAAGAGAATTACTGAAGTGTAAAACAGCGCTTTTAGTAGCACTGTAGATCGGAACGAATGGGATCCTCACCAACGCTGCCATAGCTGATATGTTGATGATAGTACCTCCTTTGCCAGCACGGTCTTTACGCATCAGCTCATAAGCTATCAAAGAACTGGTTATAAGGGCCGTCTGAAAAGTTGCATGATTTATTTAACCAACAGTTCGTATAACTTAACTTAATAACTTAACTAGCTGTGCGTGCTCTATCTTACGGTCCATTTTCGCTTTCGACCAGGCAAAATCGGAATTAATGCGCAAACAGTAATCTTAAAAAAACTGTTCGATAAACCTATATTCTTCTCTCACTTCTCATTACTTCGGTCAAAGAGACAAAGCCTTGTGTTATCAACTTTTTATTAGAATTGTATACGTACCATAATGTAATACATGCAAATATTATCGCCGTCGGATCGTCGAGCGTTTTTAAGCTATTGCATAGCTTTTATTCTGGCTTTGAGCGCGGCTACCGAATCAAGAAATTCCGTAACGAAAATAACCATAATAACAAGAGTGCATATGATACCAATAGAACACAATTTTCGCCATAAAAGTATCGATCGAAATGGCACAGTGTTTATGCCATGGGATCAATGGTCGACACATCACCGCGGTCGTCGGTTCAAATCCCGCACTCGTATTTTTTATTTTATTTTTTTCCTTTTTTTATATATTTGTTTTAGACCCCAGCACCTGTTCTTATTTTTATTTATCTCCATTTTATTTAGACTTTATAATTATCAGGCGTATGCGTGTTGTCACCCCTGCATGTGCTCTTCTTGCAGTTCGGGCATATCCGCCCTTGCTGACACGCGACTTTTCCGGAATGGCGAGGCAGGCCTTATGATATTTTATTGGGCAACCACGCAAACAACAGTATTGCCCTACGCCCAAAAAACTTCCACAAGCTCAACAGTTTTCCATCTTTAGTCCAAAAATTTAAATTATAATTATAAAGTCTAATTTAAAGGGTATCAGCGAATTATCCGAGCGAAAAACGCGAAAAACCGGTTGCTGCACGGGAACCTTTCGACCTGACCAGTGGCTCTCTAAAGGAAGATGAGGTCCAGAGTAAGGCCTAGGAGAACGCCATCGAAAACAATCACACCAGTGATATAAAAAGTATGCTGGCCGACTGCATGAAGGAGATGAGGGAATTCCGCTCGGATATGGCGGCCTTCCGCAGTTCTTTTACCGCTCGACTTGACTGAATTGAGCAGAAATTTGCGGTGTTGGATCAGCGTCTAGTGGATCCTGATGCAACTGGTAGGATGGCGCAACATATCCGAGCTGCGCGCCGAGGTGAACGACCGCGATCAGGAAGCGTTGATGACCGCCCTGGAGAGCAGAGCGTCACCATACTGGCCGCGCGGCTGGAAGTGACTCTCGACAGGCAGGACGTGGTGTTCGCGGAGCGTGTGGTCGCGCCGCCTGCCGAGGCGCGGGGCTGGCCGCGCCGTGAGGTTGTGCGCCTGGCGCACCGCCAGCTGCGCGACTACTCTTGACGGTCGCGCGTGTGCGCCGCAGGGTCACTTTTGCGGAAGGTGGCCCCCCAACCGTGGATTCGGAGGACGGCGCCCCGGACACCGCTGATGAGGGCGGCCCGCCGGCCACCGCCGTGGGGGGCGGTGCTCGCGACACAATGTCGTATCAGCTAACCGGGTCCGAGTTAGCCCTTACTGTATGAGTTCCTTTAAACATGTTGTTTTTTTAGGGTTTATAAAAATTATTTTCTTTCTTTATTTTAACACCCCTCAATACACACCCGACCGGTACAGCGGTGCGGCATTGAAAGTCGTGCATCGTCTAGCGTCGTTTCAGTTCGGCAGAGTTCGGCACGGTGTTTGTGTGCGTGCGACTAGAGTAGTGATGGGACTCGGTACTAGTAACTTTATCACTCGAATGCCACTCGTGTGAAGATAAAACTCGAGTGATTTTTATTGACTCGAGTCACTCGGAATATAAAACTCGAGTGACCAAAATTTTCGAACGCAAACACAAATGAATTTTCTTCACTCGAAGAACATGCTTGTGACGAACTACATTCACCACTGCTATCCTTATACTGGACGGTATGTTTAAAATCAAGTTACTTGTATTACCAAAATTGTAAGATTTTTTTGCAAATCTTATAATAACGGTTTTATATTCTAAATTTTTGCCAAAAAATTACCACGCAATTGTCTTTTTGCACTTTTACTCATTTTCACCACTTTCTAATAATACACAGTCATAATTTGGTTAACTTGTCACCACTTGAATTTCTCACTCGGCTCGGTATAAACCACTCGAGTGGTACGAGTCAACTTGAGTCACTCTTAATTCGAGTCGACTCGAGTCACTCAAGTCACTCAAAACTCGAGTTGTCAATAGTTAACTCGAGTGCGAGTAATATAAAAAGTACTCGAGTGAAAAGCAATCCCATCACTAGACGTATGCGTGTAGAGTAGCTGCTAACTGCTCATAACTGATTCTATCTCTTTTAGACACAATGCTAGTTGAGACAGCGTGCTTCTTGGCCTCGTCCACGAGTGAGTTAGAGCCCGCGCCTAGTTGAACCTTAACGTGCATGTATATGGTACGACTGTACGAAGCTCGCACGTAAGATTATAAAAATATTTTAAACAATATTAACTTCTCATTGTTTTCGTAACGGTCACCACGCTCAAAAAGTCTAACTAGAATTAATATCAAAGAAAAAAATACTGCATAAATAAAATAAATAAATAATTATAATTGCATAACTTGATAAAAAATGTTATGCAATAGTTTTAAGTCCCCGAGTGCCACACGTATTTTTTGTTAATACATAGTTATAACCATAAATGACGCTACGTACTAGCAAAAAGATTTGTACTATGCATACGATTCCTGAAGTATGTATGTACCTACAAATATTAGGAAACCCTCGGTGGGCGAAACCAACTCGCACTTGTTCTGTTTTTTATATTTCTTTTGCATCCAGATTACACCGCATTTTATATGACTTTTGTAACATAACACATATGAAGTTCTGGCGACCTTCTATTTTATCGGAGAATGAAACTACACGTTTTATACAAAAATAATAACTGCTTTGTTGTGTAGGTATCCCGTTAACGATGACATAAAAACTTGTACTACTTACACGTTTTTTATTAATTACTCCATATTTTGATTAGTTTTTAAAATTTTCAAGGGTTGTTTGGTATATAAGGCGTAAGTATTACCAACAGGTTTATCCACCTGTCAATTTATCTCAGTAACCCGTAGTTAGATATCACGCTGAAATACTCAGGTCTGCAATACGTTGCAAAAGTGCAATGAAGTCTAAATCAACGCAATCAAAGGATAAATCCTGCCAGCCAATCATGATAATTTTATACTGCATATTTTAATGCTTGCAAGGGAGGGAAACAAAGGCACAGAAACTTCTTGTTGGCCTAGAACTTGAAATAATGCCATCTAAGCAATGTACCGCAAGTATAGGGAAAGGATGCAAATTTGGAATACTACTTTTAAAAGAATCGTGTTAAACATGGATGAAGAGATAATTTTTATGTGAACACTGCATTTAATGTTAGAAGAACTTTATTTTATTCAAGTTAAATTAATTAACAACCTTGGATTATCACAAGTAGGATCAATTGTGTTTTAATTAAGAAATCACAGATTGGCGTAGTTTAACCAAAGTGAATATAATTTGGAATAGAGTATTCCAAATTACTATCACCTAATGGTTAACCTGAAATACCTATTTATTTGACTTTAAATTAAAGCATTTCAATTTCAAAAATAACTTTAAGCTTATTAAGTAACAACCAGAGTCATAGCTTATTGTATTCCAAATTAGCAACATAGCCAATTCTAACCTAAAATGTTTTTGTGAATTTGTGTTTCGATTAACTTCTAAAATAAGTCGTTGATTTCAACAACTGACATACTAGACTTAAGATTTATACAAATATAAACACATAAATATAAGTCACATTCAAGATGCAAGCTGATTTATTTCTTACTTGGAAAATTTTCTCGTCAGCACTTTCACTCCGATGAATTTTGTAACGGAACTGTCAATATAGCTGCTTCAAAGGCACCTCAATTTTGTTTCCTAACACATAGACTACGTAAAACTGGTAAACGTTAATAAATGGCGCTTTAGTCTATTTGTGTATTGCAGTATTCCAAATTACCAACAGTATTCCGAATTAGCATCCTTTCCTCTCCCTCGGTGCGCGAGTCCCACTCGCACTTGAGAGCTTTTTTGCATGAACTTTTTTGCAAGAATTGTTCTTGATTTGATAATAATTGACTCGGCAATGAAATTAATTCGAAAATTGAATAATCGGCTCTAGGCATCTGCCTAGATATGTACTCACCACATTTACGGCAATAGCATTAGCGTACGCTTTTGGGCTATCGTTAAAAATGCCAGCACAGTTGATAACGCCGTCTATGTATCCAAAATTATGGATCACTTTATCGAACGCTGTTTTCAGATCATCTGTAGTGACGTCACACTTGTAAAATTCTACTATTCCTTTTCCGTACTTTGTCACCACGTCCGATTCCAGCGTTTTTCCACCTTTCTCATCTACATCTAAGATAGCGATGTGCTGAAATCATTAAATGCTAATATTGAATGTCATCTCAAAGAAAGGAATCCGTATGATTATATATATATATATTATGTTAGAAACATTGGTCCCATGAAACATGGTAACTTAGTACACTAGAAGTAAAGATTCAGGCACTCACTCTACTGGACTACTCTTTTTCCATTTTCTAAACTCTTGATAATCTTTTATTAATTGATTATTTGTTTTTTCGAAACTATTTTTGATATAAGTTTTAGTTGCAATTTTGGAATTCTAAATTAAAATATCAGTAATACTCAAGACGACTTCCATACAACTTTAAAGGAAATTTCATTCTATTCTTGGTTATGGAACAAAGTGTTGTTAAGAGGCTTAACCACCTTCTCAAGAAACGTATATTGATATGCTTGTGTGGATGTTTTGACACCTTTCGCTTTCTCGCTAAGTTTTGGTCACAATACAATATACCCACTGACCACAAACACCGATTTATTATTAGTGAAGTTATGCATATTTTATCCGTGCGGTGACGGAGAAAGAATACTACTCACCGCCCCATCACTTCCCACGGGTGTCGTAAGAAGCGACTAAGGGTATCGGAGCTTCCATCCGCTCTTCTGGTGGTAGGGTGCCTAACACCCGCCTGGTTTGTTACCACCGTACGCATGGTGAAAAACCCGTGAAGTGCTTTACGCGCGTTTCGGGATCAGCCAGCGTACAACCAGAGCTCGAGTGGAGATTGCCGCGACGGATTCGGTCTAGTGGAGGCATCCATCGAACCGATGCCGGAAGGACTGCATCGACCCGCCGGCCAGGGAGACCCGTAGAAACGGCTGTCCCGCTGGCAGCCCGTGGAACAGTACAGTTAGCCTTGACATCGCCAAGGCTTTTGACAGGGTCTGGCACAAAAGCCTTCTCTCCAAGCTTCTTGCATACAGTCTGCCTGCTCAGCTCTGCGCCTGAGTAGCTGTTTTCCTGCGTGAACGTAGAATTCGTGTCCTTACAGACGGATGTAGTTCGCAGTTCATGTCAGTGAATGCCGGTGTTCCTCAGGGCTCCATTCTATCCCCTACACTCTTTCTGCTGCATATCAATGATTTGATTCCACTGGCGAATATTCATTGCTATGCAGACGGCTGGGCAGGTAGAAACCAGGGAGAAACGGGAGAATCTTGTCGCTGAACTCAATCAGGCTTTGGACCACATTTCCGAATGGGGTACCAGCAACTTGGTTGAGTTCAATGCCAAGAAAACTCAGGCCTGCGCTTTCACGGCAAAAGCATCGCCATTCCTTCCCCTTCCCTCTCTTCAGGGTACAACACTGGCGCTACAGAGTAACGTTACCATGCTCGGTATGGAAATTCGCTCAGACCTGAATCCAAAGGACTACATCGAAACCGTGATCAAAACAGCTTCACGCAAACTCGGAGTCCTAAACAAAGTGCGGCGTTTTTTCACGCCCGATCAACTGTGCTTGTTGTACAAAACGCAAGTTCGGTCCTGCGTGGAATATTGCTCGCACCTCTGGGATGGCTCCGCTAAGTACTTACTCGATGCCTTGGATAGGTTACAGCGGCGCGCTGTCCGCATTATTGGCGATGAAGAAGTAACCAAGAAACTCGAGTCTCTGCAATTACGCCGCGATATGGCATCATTAAGCGCATTTTATCGTCTATACCACGGCGAATGTTTTGAGGAGTTATTCTCCCTTATCCCTCCATCACCTTTTCTTCAGAGGACCACGCGCGCTGACCTACGTTGCCACCGACTTACTGTGGCCACTATTCCTACACGAACAAAGAAATTTGTTGACTCATTTCTTTGTCGTACAATTAGTAAGTGGAATTCTTTACCCGCGCAAGTGTTCCCTCCTTCCTATATAGGGGTCCTTTAAGAGAGGCGTGAAGAAGCATTTTTGCAGGCCGGCAAGGTGAGGATGATTGGTGTAGCAGTTTATAACTGCTGTACCAGCTATCTTCGCATTTGGACTTTATTACCACTTAACATCTGGTGGGGTGGAAAGAGTCATTTGCCTACCTTAATATAAAAAAAAAATGCAGAATACAATTTTACCAGAAATTAACACGCCTAATAAAATTCAGCCCTTTTAAAAGTATTCCCTTGTGAATTCAGATTTATAAACATTCGTCCAAACAAGGATTATATTAAAAAAATCCCTTACAAATAATTGTTCAAAGAAGATTACGCCAAGTTTGGCGTAATGATTGAGGCGGAGTGATCCTCTAGGTAGCGGGTCAGTTGGTTGTTAAGGACCTTTTATAGGACTTTACATAATACTGAGGTGACTGCTATTGGCCGGTAGTTTGCCGGGTTTGAGCGATCCCCTTTTTTGGGTACCGGTCGACCTCTCCAGCATCTCTCCAAGTCTCCGGCACACGCCCCAAAAAATACGAGCACTGGTACAAACGCGTGAGCACGGGAGACAACTCCGCTGCACATTTTTTCAGTACTACTGCTGGGATGCCATCAGGTCCACTAGCTTTCCGGACGTCGAGTGATTGCAATTCGGCGCGAACCTCACGCTGCCTGATTTTGATATCAGGCATCGTTGTGCCACTATGAGGTAATAATGGTGGCAGTGCATTGCAATCATCGATTCGGGAGTTAGCCGCAAAGAGTAAATAGACCGGGAACTGGTGACAGGTGACGTTCCACGATTTTATCGTGCATGTCTTTTTAAGGCTTGATAACTAACCCTAAAATATCAATGATAGTCGGAGCTTTAGCCCCCCGCGCGTCCTCTTCTTAAGGAAAAGCGTTTTTCTTTATGTAGTGGATTATCGTGTTTTTCCGTGATAGTATACTGCATGCCATTGTAATGTGGAAGTTATTATTATTTAATATACAGAAGTTTAAACAATGCATGTAGCTTCATGAAAATTGTTTAAAGAAATAGAAAAAGGAGGTCCGATTTTATAATTTGATTTTTTTTTAATTATGAGAAATGAAAGTACAAAATTATTAGCAGCATCATTATTTTAAACATTAAGTATTACTAATTATCATTATCATCAATCGCTTCATCATCATCATCGTCGATATTATCATTATCATCATCGCGGCTATGTACAGACTCTTCTTCCGTAGTGTAGCCAATATTGAATTGGCAATCGCTGTCATCGTCATCATTTGATTCTTCATCCTCTTCATCATCAAAGTTTGTACACATCGATACGACTTCCTCGTCATTAGCGTCGTTTTCTTTTGGGGCTATGAAAATGACAGAAAAACATGTTTTTCAGTTATCATTCTGATTTTACGTACTCGTATGTGTTAAACATAAGGAGAAAAGAATTGATTGTACAGTAATGGAAATTCTAGTAGAATAATGACCTCGAATGTTAAAAGATAAAGGCATGATTAGAAAAATATAAGTACCTTCAATAATTTCCTGTACATTAGGAGGAACGTCGTCCGCCTCCAACCACCGGAAGGAATAGCTGTTATTTTCCAGTTTCCAACCGAATTCTTCCACATTCAAAGAATTTTTGGGCAGTGGGGAAAAAGAATTTTTCCACATGTGCCCAATCTACGCTGCTCGAAGAAGTTGTTGTTGGAGTTCGCGTTTACTCGGTGGTAGCAAGCAAGAAATTCATCAACTTTTGTTTAAACTCGTCTGTTGGCTCGATTTTGTTTGTATACGTTTGCGTAAATATTCGTAGACGAGCATCATCTACATTACAGCATTTCCTGAGGCCATTTTTCGCTGTTCGTACATTTTGCAGACAAAGCGTGGCAAATGCACGTTTGTAATCGACACTATTTGGGCTTTGCAATGCGACGAAAGCTTGTTGGAATTCTTCATTGGCAGAATACAGTTTCCACGGTTTTCTTTTTCTCTTGCGGTAAAATGCAGGGTTGAAATCGCACCCTGTTAAGGCATGGAAAGCTGGTAAGCCTGAGTATTCAGGCGTCGGTTGACGCCATATGACATATTACTATACTTACAAAAATACTCCGGATTAAACATAAAAGAATGATGAAGAAGGCACTTATACATGTACTGGACAGCTATCTTATAAATTTTCACTATAATACTGTGAAGAATGGAAATTGCAAGTTCAATAATGATGTTGCATGTAGTCACTTACGACATGTACTTTTTGGACATGTACACTGAGACGAAAAATGTATAAGCAATGGTGTAGCGTCCACCGTAGGGTAGTAGCGACCCCACGTGCTAGTCGACGTATAATAGGCCACGTTTAGACTAGAGACTGGGAGATTCGAATCGTTTGAATTGAAAATTTTATATTTACAATTTTTCATCAATGAGTTGAGAAAATAATTATAAACCGTTACCATCTTTTTTTGTTTATTTAAACAATTTTCATGGAGCTACATGCATGCTATATCGCATTTCAGCTTAAAAAAGTATCTACTATCAAAATACAAAGCGGCATGCTGGTAGATGTCACCTAAAGGCAGGCGCGGTCGCAGCCTGAAATTTTGGAGGGGGTCACTTACTCACACTATTAAAAAAAACCGGCCAAGAGCGAGTCGAACTCGCGCACCGAGGGTTCCGTACACACCTGAATTTTCAAAAATCTTTTTTATTTATATAATGTAACTAAAAATTCACGGTTTTCGCATTTTTTTCTTTCTCTGTACTATAAGACATTACTTTGTACCAAATGTCAAGAATGACCTTAGATTTTGGGGGGGGTCATGTCCACTGTGACCCCCCCCCCCCCCCCCCTTCGAACCGCGCCTGCCTAAAGGAGACTGAAACGATTGCATACAATCTCGGGCCCAGGTGTAAGAAGATGAAAGTGGTGTCATTTAATAGCTTATATATTATCAACCTTTCACTGAAAATTTTGCGGCTTTTGTCAATCTGAGAACAGAGATATAAGAGATTAAGTTAAAGTGAGGTTTTGTTACAATCTTTAACTAACAGCTCATTCGTGAAGTGCAAAATGTGTTCATTTGCACTAATAGTTATTATATTTACTAGAACATGTTTGAAAGATCATATGAATTAACGTCAACGACTTCAAGCGATAGATAGGTAACAGGTGCCAGCTGCCAGCTCACCTGATGGTAAGTGTCTATCGCCCATACACACCTGCAATACTAGGAGTATCACAAATTCGATGCCGGCCTTTTTGAACGGAGTACGCTCTTTTTGAAGGTTTTCAAGTCGGTTTGGTCTTCTTCACCAACTTCTTTTCTTTATATTAGTTTCAGAAAGATTCGAGCATTTTTGTCCCGCAAAAATTATTAAATTTTTTGAAAAATTTAGAGTACATAACGCTGAAGCGACGTAAATTTTGGTATTTTTGAAACTATTTTTTTTGTCTATTACGCTCTATTATTTATCGTATGATTTGTTGTTTTGCTTGACTAGGAATGTGTGGCTGTATATTTTTTTATGAATATATTTTTATTTTCATTAACAATGAACTTATGTTTTAACATACATTTTTTTTTGTAAAATAAAACTTTAATACTCGATTCTGTGAAGTTACTAAAGTGAAGTTTAAGCAGTTTTACTTTTTCACTATCGTTATCAACATTCAAGTTAATTGACACTTGTTCTAAGTAATAAGAACATAAAAACACAGAGAAATAATGGTATCTAATGATGCATTGTTAAGTAGTTACCTACTAAAATTAGGTATCTTACGAGGTGACAGATCATTTAAAACTGAATTGTGATTTAGGACACAGAGATGAATATTATTTCCGTTTTTAGGGTTCCGTACCTTATAAGGAAAAAATCGGAACCCTTATAGGATCACTTTGTTGTCCGTCCGTCCGTCCGTCTGTCAAGACCATTTTTCTCGAGAACGCGTGGAGGTATCAAACTGAAATTCATATCTAATACTCAAGTCCACTGTCCCTTAGAGTTGTAAAAAATCAAACTTCTAAGCCAAAGTAATCAAAAGATACAGCCGTTTATGCCGCAAATTTACGCAAATTTTCGAACCTCACACGGGAATCAAAACCAACAGGGTACTTCCCGTGAACTTGGAATCTTGAAATTTGGTACGAAGTAACGTCTTATAGTACCTACAGATAAAGATAAAATTGCGAAACCCGTAAATTTTTAGTTACATTATATAATAAAACATATTTTTAAAAATTCAGGTTTAATTGTTTAACCTAGTGGGTTGTGTGTAAAACTTTAACTTCTTTAATTAGGTACCTACTCAATTATATAAAATGAAATACTATTTGACGGAAAAAGCTTCTTACAGTTTAACGAGAGCTGAGCAAAGCGGATTTTCTCTGGGGAAATAACCTCCACCTTATAACAGACCACACTAAAATAACTCTACTTTCGCTGATGTTGTGTTTCCCATAATCTATCTTTACGACTGAACTTCACTTACACTTCACATCAGGTGGGGTGGGGTAATTTGTTACGCTTTGTATACTAATGTAAAAGAACGAACAAAGGTAGAAAGTAATTCAAAAATGTTGTGATCTGAGATACAAATACTCAGAGTAAAACAAAAAAACGTCTAATAAAACGATGGCGTCGCAATAAATTGCCGCTTTAAAACATGAAGGCGCTTCGATGCCTGATCCAAATAATATTTGATAATATGATAATGATATTATCATTATCATTATATATGTCGCCGCATACGTTATTCTACCATAGTTGATTAAGGCAAAATAGCGATTAATAATTATGATACTGTCTATTCTAAAATTAAGAAGAAATAATGTTTATATTTTCATTTGAATTATTTACTCTAATATCTAAACCATCGTTTAAGTACTTTTATTGTTCTCGACATATTATAATAAAACTAAGTTGATAAAATGTGCGTGCCGATACAACTTAAAAAGGAGTCCCGGCACGATAAGGGACTTATATAGTGTGATAGCCTTTTATCCCCCCCTCGAACAAAAAATTCCCGTTTTAACCTAAAGGGTGTGTTTTTAAAGATATAAGGGCTTTACCAACCCTTCAACTTGGAAATTAAGTGTAGTGGCGCCATCTGCTGTCGTGTATTTCAAGAAGGTGTAAGAAAGTAGAATACCACTGATCTCTTCTGAATTGCCATTTCAATTTAAAAGATTGCAGTTTCCAATTAAATTAGCCTTCACTTTTACAATTAACAAAGCGCAAGGGCAAACTTTAAAATATTATGGCATCAAACTCAAAGAATCCTGCTTCTCTCACGGTCAGCTATATGTAGCTTGCTCAAGAGTAGGAAATTCGAAAAAAATATATGTATACCTATACCCCGGACAATAAAATGAAAAATGTTGTATAAACAAGTAGTGTAAATAATGAGAAAATGTTTTTAACATTTTTTTTTTACTTTTTACGTGATATTTGCTTTTTTATTTCAACTACTGCGTAATCTCATATCAACTCCCGAGCGAAGCCGGGTATCATAGCTATGACTATATAAACCGCATAAACAATTAAAAATGTTTAATGCTCAATTAACGCATTGGAGTCAGCGGCTCTTATAGCAGCACCAGGTCCTTAGGGGGCCTGAGTTCTTGAAAGCAAACGCCCAGATGACATTAGTACCTTAATGTGGGGCGTTTCAAATGTTGAATGGTTGACGTCATACAATGGGATTGCCTACCGCTTATCCTGAAACTATCCATGCAGGAATGGCACTGATTGCTCCTAGTCTCGGAGACGCAATTCAATAGGTGAAGCGAAGCAAATGCGGAGTTGTTGTAGTCTTACAATGGTAGTGCCGATCACTTGTTAAAACCATGTAGGTATGTGCCGGAATGGCACCCGTTGTTCCTAGCCTCGGAGGCGCAATTTAAAAGGTGGAGCGAAGCAAATGCAGTTGTTGACGTCTCAGAATGGTAGTGCCGATCGCTTGTTCCGAAAATGTACGTTCCAGAATGGCACTTGTTGGCCCTAGCCTCGGAGGCGCAATTTAAAAGGTGGAGCGAAGCAAATGCAGTTGTTGACGTCTCAGAATGGTAGTGCCGATCGCTTGTTCCGAAAATGTACGTTCCAGAATGGCACTTGTTGGCCCTAGCCTCGGAGGCGCAATTTAAAAGGTGGAGCGAAGCAAATGCAGTTGTTGACGTCTCAGAATGGTAGTGCCGATCGCTTGTTCCGAAAATGTACGTGCCGGAATGGCACTCGTTGCTCCTAGCCTCGGAGCAAATGCTGCATTGTTCACGTCTGACAACGACAGGTCCAACCGCTTGTTCTGAAACTATCCGCGACGGATCGGCACTAGTTACCCCTATAGCAAATGTTAACTTGTTGATGACGTCTTACTATGCGATTGTGAACTGCTTATTCTGAAACACGCTGGCACTCGTTAATCGTTTCTTCGGAAACTTTATTCCAAAGGTGGGGAGTCTCCACAGATAGCAGTTGTTTCTTAGTCTAAAATCATTAAGACATTGAACGCCCTTGCAATGTTGTACTGCATACGTAAGTGTATTAACACTCCAATTCAGGACATTTACATAGTGGTCCTTAAGTGTCACAGAGTTTTTGTGGAACATGAAATCAGGGAAACCAAGCTAGAGCCACGGGCTAGAGCTTGATTTATGGTAAGCTGTTAACATTTCTTTTTGTAATGGGTTTAATATTCATCGCATCAGTATGCCTAAATACTAATATTAACCATTTGTTAATTATTGTTCGAACATGATTTAATGACTTGATTATTATCTATAATCATGGTTAATAGAGAATTTGATTTCAACTCTATCAGGTCAATTCATTTATTACGGATTTTTTTTTTATTTTTGCCTTAATTTAATATATTTTGTTTGTGAATTATTATTAATTCTCATTATCACATAGCGTTTGCTTTTTTCTTTCACCAGCAGATAACAAACAAGCCTTCGTGTCTCCAACCACGCTATGAGAGAAATACATATAATAATGTCAAATAAGAGACACAATACATGTTGCCAAGTTGCTGTGGCAACGGCTTCAAAACGTGAGTCATATCGAATGGTTTTCATCCTGTTTTGACTTGTTTTGATCAAAGATTGAATGGTTAGATATTATGCCCTGTCACCGAAAAACTGTGGCCATATTTTGCACTGACATTATGATGATAGCCGTTTTGACACATTAAAATAGTGAAGTAAAAGTCAGTTTTTTAATCGAAAAAATAAAGTAATGCTATTAAACGCGAGTCTCATCTAGATTTTTTTTTGTATTTTAACCAACATTGCAAACATTAGCTGATCAAAAGGACTGAATCAAATGAAAAATATAAATGTCTACATAATCTCAGCGATCCTATGTGCGGCGATCGTTTTGATTTATTTATTTTACATTTCGAATTTAGCAAAATACAAATGCTTAGTTATGTGGTGAATATATACATTGCAATTATATTATCACCAGCTGACCCGGCGAACTGCGTACCGCCTTTATAACAGTCGATAAATGTGGCTTTCTTTAATATGTAGCTTAATTAAATTTAGGACTTTTCAAACGAAATAAAACGAACACAAAACATTTCAATAGTTTACTCGGATAAATATATATATAAAAGAAAGTCGTGTTAATTAGAACACTTATATCTCAAGAATGGCTGGACCGATTTTTATGAGAATTATGATTTTTTGGAATCCTCTCCGCCCGAATAGCAGAATAACTATTTAAATATAGGAAAAATCACGGAAAAAACTAATGTAGAAAATCGATTGTCATTATATAAATTAGGTTTGGTATTCCGCCTTCCTCCACAATTGGCAGCTCACATCACAAAAGCACAAAGCTTATTTGTTCCTTCTGCAAATCTGTTACTATATTATAGATAGTAGATGATCGCTTTAGAGAGTGATATTGTAATTTAAAGAAAATACTGTAATCATAAGACAAGTTGCAATACTAGCCAATATTTTGGTAAGGAAACGATGGATATAACTTCAACACTATACTGTAGTATCAATATCACAGTTTTCATGCCATTATAACATAAATTTTACTCCGTTTAGTTTAATTTTCCATAATTATAGAACTATTCCTAATTTCATAAGTAAAAGTTATTGAAATTTCATTTTCTCTATATTTATAGGTATATTTTATCCATATAAACTATTTAACTTTTTTGTATTTGTTTTATTGGCGCTCCAAAATCATTAATTTAAATTTTAGTAAACATAAATTAATATAACCACATTCATCGACTTGGGCGGTACGAAGTTCGCCGGGTCAGCTAGTTAGATATAAAGAAAAAATAGAGAGAGATATTATAATGAAATGTTTCAAACGTGTATTTTATACCGG